CCCCCCCCCCTCCCTCTCCGCCTTTGCCACCCCCCGCCACCCACCCGCAGTTTGACTGGGTAGACTGGAGAGCCTGCCGACGTGACGTCAGAAATAGGACAAGGCGCTTGTGGCCTTTGCCCGATACACACAGTTGGGTAGTGAGAGGTACAGCCAGAGGAGGGCCACTGAACTGCCTTGCGATCCGGGGTTGGTCCCTTCTTACTGTCTTTTTATTATTTTCTTCTTTTTATTCCTGGTTCAAAGGCACCTTTTTTTACCTTTTCAACTCCTTGCCAGAGGGATAAGAGAGAGCCGCAGGGTTTTGTCCTTGCCGAGGACAAAAATTAAGTGCTAGCCGGATCTTGCAATGTTGCACTCAAAAAATAAATGATTTGTTGGTGAAAAAAAAAGACAGGTTTCTGAGATAATCTCCGGCTTTTGAACGATATAGTCACATCCTTGAGAGATTTTAGTTGTGGGCTGTTACATTGTTGAAAAAATTCGATTAAAGTTTCAGATGAAAGTTTCTTGATTCAAGGTGTTCACCTTTTTTATGGTTGTCTTGTAAAATCGACAATGAGGTGGAATTGCATTCTTCGGGGAAATGGATGCTCAAGTCTTCAGACGTTTTTTGACACTGCGGTTTCGTCAATATATCTATTAAAATGACAGGTTACTCTGAATCAGACAGGGGTAGAATCATAAATTTTAAAAAAGTTAAATTTTGAAGAAGTCGGTAGTTAATAGTATTCGTTGATTTTTAACTATTAAATTAATCATCAATTAAAGATCCAAATTTCGAATTATTTTATCAATAAATAATTGAGTGCGGAGGATTGCCGATTATTTGGCCAATTGCAAATTTAGAAATATTTGTCCAATGGTCAATTTCCAACCCCAGACTTTAAATTATTCAATTCATAGTCAATTCGAAAATTTAAATTATCAATTATTTCATCATTTTCAAATTTCAACCCAAGTATTATTAAAACTAATGATTGGTGTCGATCCCTACTCTAGATAATCTATCGCGTTTTTGTTTTTTTCATTTTTTTCATTTTCATGACTACGGACAAAATTTTTTTGTTTTTGAAACAGTTTTACATAAATAAAAAGTCTTTAATTTGTTGAAAATTTGTTGCCAAAAGTGACAAATTTGAATTCATTGAGAAATCCAGTCAAAAAATTTCGCCAATAACGGCAATAAACCATTTATTGGGTTCCTCAGATCATAAATTATGCGTCAAGTACGTTTTTGTATCATTTTATTGCATCCTCATACGTGACGAAAAAATTCTGCCTCTAGAAGATGTCTCCAAGGTTTCAATTAAAATTTCCGATGAAAGTTCCTTGATGCAAGGTGTCCGGTTTTTTTGGGGCCTCTCGTAAAATGAACAATAAAATGTAATTAAATGCTTCCGGGTATTGAATAGGAGGAGCTACTCAATTCTTCAGCAAGAGAAATGTCTCCCAACGATGTTTTCGTATTGCAGTGAAATTTCGTCAGGATATCTGCAAACAAGTGGGAAATGGCTCTTGTACTGCATGTGACGTAGCTATTTTTGCGAATAAATTAACAATATGCTGCCGAATGGTTATTTTGCACATAATTTTCTTCTGTCATGTATAATTCATTGTTCATTTCATTTTATTCAATTGAATAGAATTTCTTTTTAACAAATTTTGTCAGATTTTCAACTTAGTTGGATGTTATCATCATTCTCATTATTCTTATTATCTCTTTGTTCTATACAACCGATTGTCTTTTTCGCGATTCTATCTCTCCCCTCCACCCTTTGATAAAATGTTAATAGAAAAATTTTATTCATACACTAGGGGGCTACGCCCCAACTCGCTTTACTCGCCAACCCCCTTATGATCCACATATGATCTTCATATGACCCCCATATGACCCTTGTGGCTCTTAATCTGATCTTTGTGACCCTTAATCTGGTCCTTGTGACCCTTATTTTGACCCCCATAACCCCTAATTTGACCCTTGTGACCCTATTCTGATCCTCGTGACCCTTACTCGGATCCTTATGACCTTTATTCTCTCATAAGTGTCAGAATAAGGACCTCACGACCCTTATTTTAACCCTCATGACCATTATTTTAACCCCCGTGATCTTTATTTTGACCCTTGTGACCCTTAAATTTGGAGTCTTAATTTCGAGTACCAAATTTTCATTACCAAAAGTTGATTTGGATTTTTATAATATATCATCATAAACATCAAATCAAACAATATAGCTATCGTAATCATCTTTTAACTTCGACTCAATGGCAGACATTTTAGGCTACGATTGAATTCATTTGAAGCATGATATTCAAAGATATCCCCGGAATTCTGATTTTCAAAAAATATAAAATTTTTGCAAATTTTCAAATAAATCAAAATAACGATTATTGCTGTCGTTTCCAGCGTCGAACTCGGCAAAATGATACACAAATTTTTTAAGTCATCATTCGATCAGTTCAGAACATTTTTTCTTAGTTATCATAAGACAACCGATTTTGGAAAAAATTCCAAAATTAAAAATACTAATCGATGAATTAAAATTTACTTAATGGCGATCGATAGGGCTCAACAATGCCTACACTTGAAAAAAAATCAATTTCGTCGAGTCATTAGCGAACAATTGAAAAAAAATTTCTTACATATGTACACCCACATGGAAAAATTTATATTTCAAAAATATATAAAATGTTCGTTTTATATATAAAAATATATAAAATGTTTGTTTTATATATTTTTTAACATATTCTTTATAAATTTCAAAAAAAATTGGAACTGGCCCATATTATATATTTTTTATGGGGGCATACATACACCTATACACACGTACAGACGAGGTCTAAAAATTGCATTTTCGGACTTTTTGAATCATACTGGGTCCATATAACATAAAAAATCCAAAACTTTTAATTGAACGATTACAAAGCTTCCATTCGGAAGCAATATGAGAACTGACTGCATATTCTACCGCATATTTGCGATTTCTTGGACGAATGAGACATCCCATTCATCAAAGCTATCAATACGTTATTCTCCTCACACAATTGTTCCATAAATTCATGAGACTGCGGAGAAACTATTTCGATCTTGGAAACAGTTTATCACGAATATGCAGTGGTTTATAAAAAATGTTCTACTTGGAGATAAATTTCCGTGAAAACTCGCAAATCCAAGGACTTGGCATAAATCCTCAGGATTGAAAATTAGGGTCCAAAATTCTCATCAACAATGAAAATAAACCTTTTGTCACCTTTCAAAAATGAATAAGTTGTGTCGCAAATGAATATTACATTATTACATTATTTTTATTTCGTCCTCACTTATGACAGACCAATTTTTCCTTTAAAAGATGTGGGTCATCAGGTTCCAGGAAATTGTTAAACCCATGAACGAAATATACGACTGAAAACGCGTTAACTTATATTTATAACCTCTGAGTATAAATATACAACCTGGCTTACATCCAAAGTTTTTTGAGCTCCGAAGCTCTCCGGGATGTTTCATCGTCAGGCACACGCGTCGCAATGTACGCAATCCCCCACTGCTCAGCCTAGTCGACCGTAATAGTTTTCGGCCAAAAAATACCTCCCCCGTCAGTTTCATCCCATGCTAGAGTCACAATATTCCGTATTTTTTCATCAATGTTACAATCACAGGAGCTTTCTGACATACATCAGCTAGAACGGAGTAAAATACATTGGTTTAAAATTGTCTGTTGCATCAAGTGGAGTAACACCTGTATTTCCACCTAATTTTCCTCATTTTCAAATTTTCACCTTTGTTCGAAATTATCGTGATTGAACTTTACTACTCCCCCTGGTCCAATTGATCATCTTGATGACTCTATCATCCCCAGGAATTAATTACGTAATTTAACGATTGTGTTTTAGTTCTGGCGATTGTGTTATACAGAAATGTGAATAATTCCTCGTAATTATCGGAAATAATCGTGTGAAGAAAAGCTCAGATGACGATAATCGATGTACAATGTGTCATGTGAATAAAAATGTAAAGCCTGCATTTACCAGTGTGTTCTATGATAAATCTAAAGATAGATGCTCGGATGGGATCCGAGTTAAGGTAGTTGAGTGCAGGGAAATAATTTGCGAATGTTAAATGGAAAAGGGAATGCGAAAGAAAAAAACAATTTGTCTTTAACCCTTGAATGATTAATGTAATCATCGTGAATAGTTACAATAATGCATCATCATTCTTTTGGATCATCGAAAGGGGATGCCCTGTGCCCCCTAGGTTTTCATCCACAAGTGCGATGGCCAACGAGGTGTAAACGTTGCTTCAGGTACAGATAAAATTTCCCCTTTGTCCATTTAGTTTAAGTGATCGTAATGTGATTGCTCGCGATTTCGCTCAACAGCAGCATAATCAATGATTCGACAGAGACTACAAGGATCATGCGGGCAAACGGACACCTGGACTGCAGGCGAGCATCACTTCGTCAACGCCGAGCTTGTCCAAGTGGGAATCATCTCCTGGACGGTAATTTTATTTTTTTTTTTCATCCGCACTTCACAGTTTTCGTGAAAATATGCAATGTTGATTCTTCACTGAGAGAAAAATCTGAAGTTCGATTTACAATAAGAAAATAGTTGAGGCAGTTTGGTGAACGATACGATTTTTTTTTGTATGCGGCACATAACATTATAGTAACTTCACAAGCGTAATTTTTGCAAATCAAAATGCAGTTAAACTAACCAAAGTTCAAAAGTAACCACGACAAATCTATCGTGAGGAGAACTATAAAATAGTTGCAATGACTACATTCCATTGTAGTAATTACTTCTCCGGCCATAGTTACCGTAACCCATGAAAAATTGTTGAGGACTTTTTGACTATAATTCGATGGTGATGAAATATAGTCAGAAGAATTATATTTTTCTCTCAGTGTTGGGGTGACTGGGGCAAAGTGGAGTTTAGCAGAGTATAACTTAATGAGTTGAAGAGTGATTTTCAAAATCTGAAATGAAAGGGAGACCGCGGTAAAATTTCAAAGCCGAAAAAAGTAGGAGAAAAATTACCGGACAAGTCAAGTAATGATGGAGCGAATTCGATTTTCAGCACTTTTTCACTCTATATCGGGGAAAAAGTGCGAGACTAACAGTAAATTTTTCTCCGTTGGTCCGAGAAAATTTACTGAACATGACGGTAATTTGCGCCGAAACTAAAATTTACACTGCGTTCTATCAAAAATTATCCCAGTGAACGTGAATAATTGCTCAATATTGCGTATATTTTTTTTGCCACGGCGGACGCAAAGTACATGGAGAGAAATGTTCAGTAAAAATTACGGAACTCACAATTCGCTCACCGATTACGGAATCGACTCAGAAAATTTAAGTGACGTTATCGTACACTGATAGAATGATTCATTTATTCCAAACGAGATTCGTTAACTATGAACGAATGGTAGAGTTGAATATGACCAAATGAATGTTCGTTAATAGTTAACGAACGGTTCACTTGAATGGGGAAAGTTAAGTCAAACAAGGCTCCTCAAATAAACATTCGTTAACTATTAACGAATGAACATTTGGTGAGACCGGATAGACCCTAACCTCCAACCAAAATCCATTCGTTAACAATAACTAATCTGTTCTATCAGTGTACTTGTTCACAGGAGATTCAGTGATAGTTCCGTAAAATTTCCTACAACCTCATTTCGCTCCGGAATCACGGAAAAGATATGTAGTTTTTATTGAATTTTTCTCTCCGTGTAAGGGAAATTTCACAGCAAAAACGAATGTCTGATTTCACACCTTTTGTAGACATTTTCAAACACTAAAAACCGTCTGAATAAAATGAAAATTTGAAAATTTGTGAATGACGAACAGGTGCCAAAACATCTTAATTCATGTTTGAAATTTCGACAAATTTTCATTCTATTCAGACGTTTTTCAGTGTCTGAAAAATGTCTACAAAAGGTGTGTGAAATTCAGACATTCGTTTTGGCTGTATAATATGTCTGAAATTAACCTACGTAATATCCTTTTGAAGTATGCATCCTTGCAGTGAGTACGAATGCACTATACTAAGTATGGATATGGATACGAGATATGGAATCTGTACACTATATATGGACATTAGCAAGAATCCATGCTTCGTTTCATTCTTGTTCATAACAACTATGTGTGAAGCAATTTTTAGTTCAATCGATTAAAAATGTAGGCACTTAAATGAATTTCAAGGTTTCAGTCCTTCACGATCCTTTGTGCACCTTGAAACTCTCCGCAGTTTACTTCTTGTCCACTTTTTCGTGGCTCCTAACGAGCGCCAATAACTCTCAGATTCATGGTTACAAACCCCAGGGGCTTTCATATTTCACCGCGGTTTCTGCTTATACTTAAAAATGAGACCAACTTGATCTGAATTGTGGCACTCGTAAAGTGTTCTCTCCGTTTCACACACTTCAGTCCTTCTCATGGGCTCATCTGCCTCCCGATCATCGGTGATATCATGATAGATCTGTTCCTTTGTCATATTATTTGAAAATGTCATCTTGGCATTTAATGACAGGCTTGTAGGTCATATTGAACGATGATTGCACGTGTTGATCGAATAAAAGGCGGTCTAAATACCTGCGTTTCTATCTCTCTTGAACCATATTGACGTTTGGCTTTGAATTTTCCGATCGCCTATCATGTCTCGAACCATGATCTGAATCTATCTATCATCACCTATTATTCTATTATGTTTGGGCAATAACTGTTGGAGATCTGAAGAGCTATATTTTGCCTCGTCTTTCCCTACGTCTTCAATCATGATAGTAAAGAGAGGAGAGGAATATGTGCTGAAGAGACCGACCCTACTTCAATATGCACTGGGATAAAAAATTACTTGTGCCAAGGAATCATTTTCTTGGGAGAAGAATTAATTTTTTTAGGGGCTTATTTCTCTAGGCCAGTCATTCTCAGGTCCATGTTCATCTCCAAATATTACAATTATGTTGAACAATGAGATGATTATGCTACATATGACCTTGAATGAATACGCTTCATTATTTTTCAATTTTTTCAAATTCGAGGTTTTCTAACGTATAATAATTTGAAATAATTTTAAAGGTTAATAATTGTCAATGGAGTTCATTCAAGGTCATATGTAATATAACCATTCCATAATTGAACATAATTGTAATATTTAGAGATGGACTTGGACTCCTTGATAATGACTGGCCTGGAGAAATACGCTCCGCAAAAAATAAATTCTTCTCCCAAGAAAATGATTCCTTGGCAAAAGTAATTTTTTTTCTCAGTGTGTACGAACATTTTTTATGGAGATCCTCGCCCATTTGATTGCCCCTTACGTGTGGAGTCGATGTATGGTATCGATCCATGAAAATGTGAATGACTTTTTTCAAAATTGATTATTTCCAAAACTGTGGAGAGCAACTCAACCAGACAAATGACATTGCAAATATTTTTCAATACGAGTGCGTAATTGGGACCGCTATTTACCAATGGTGGGGTGATGATCGCCCTCATAACATGGACGACCGATGGTTTACCCGTTCGAACTTGTTCAAACCCTCACATTGTAGCTGACAGTAGTAGTTCCTCTTCGACTCAATCATTTCTGTATTGTTTTTTATTGTTGTACTCGAAGTTCCGATGTTGTCATATTTTAGAAAAACTTCAGGATTTGTAAAGTGATTGATTGAAGTACCAACGATAAACCATCGGACGGCCATTTTTCTTAGTGCAGGCGATACCCACCAGACACCGCAGCGATGTATAGCGTCCCCAATAGTAGATTATATCATCAGGCGATAAAAGTATTATCTGACGAATGTGACTTTATAATCCGATCCGAAGGCGAGCATAATAGTATATTTTGATACGAGTGAGACGGAATTTTCACGAGCGTGAAGTCGGCGCCGATAATACGAGCTGAAAATTCCCGTCTCACATGTGTCGAACAATATTTTTTGACAGTGATGTTACTGTTACAAGAAACGAAAAGACTTTCCATTTACTTTTCGTTTACGAGTAAAAGAAAAGGCACTTTTCGGTACGAGGTGAACGTACCAGCAGTATCAAAATAGTATATTTCATAACGGGTGCAAAAAAGTGTTTTTTGGCGAGTGGGAGGTTTATATCACGAGCCGAAGGCGAGTGATGTAATCCCACGAGCTAAAAAACATGTTTTCACGAGTAACGAACAATATTTTTCATCACAATGTGGCGGAAATTGGACTTTTAGGCAGGCGGATCGTGCCGAAAAGTTCACTTTTCGTCACAGCGTGATGAAATAGTATATTTCGTTACGAGTACGGAAAAGAGTTTTTTGGCTCGTGGGAGGTTTATAGCACGAGCTGAAGGCGAGTGATATAATCCGACGAGCCAAAAAACACTTTTCATCACGGTGTGTGTAAAGTGACATTTCACGCACGCTCCGCGTGCGCAAACTCCCACTTCCCACACATTGTGATGAAAAATAGGGTTCGATACTCGTGGGAAATAGTATATTTCGTAACGGGTGCAAAAAAGTGTTTTTTGGCTCGTCGGATTATATCACTCGCCTTCGGCTCGTGATATAAACCTCCCACTCGCCAAAAAACACTTTTCATCACGGTGTGTGTAAAGTGACATTTCACGCACGCTCCGCGTGCGCAAACCCCCACTTCTCACACATTGTGATGAAAAATATTGTTCGTTACCAGTGAAAACATGTTTTTTAGCTCGTGGGATTACATCCCTCGCCTTCGGCTCGTGATATAAACCTCCCACTCGCCAAAAAACACTTTTCATCACGGTGTGTGTAAAGTGACATTTCACGCACGCTCCGCGTGCGCAAACTCCCACTTCCCACACATTGTGATGAAAAATAGGGTTCGATACTCGCGGGAAAATTGTTTTTAGACTCGTGGGATTATATCACTCGCCTTCGGCTCGTGCTAAAACGTGCGAAAAACAAAAACACTTTTCCGCAATCGTATCGAAATATACTATTTCCCACGAGTATCGAACGATATTTTTCATCAGTATGTGTGAAAAAGGGACGTTACTTTTTCGCACAGCGTGATGAAAAAAGTATTATCTGAGTCATGTGATTATAACATAAAGTCACCTTCGTCAGATTAATATATTGTGTTACTAGTGCGTAAAGGTCCACTTTTTCGCACGCACGTGTAACACAACTCATTTTTTGTGGTACCGGCCGAGTTCACTGCTTGGAACGCTAGTGGGGGTAAAGTGGTTGTTTTTGTGCGCGAACTACACGTACGTCGTACGAAAAACAACCGCTTTACGCACACCTAACCATTTCGAAAAGTACACTTTTCAGGCAGGTATCACAAAAAGAGAATACAGTTGCTTCAATTAAATATTGGTTTCATAATTTTCCATTGATTATAAGTCATCGGATTCTAGTTGTTTCGAGCATAGGTATACCACGCTTAGAAACAAAAGGGCCCCGTCCGTGCGTTTAAGGGATTCTATTGGAATTCAATTAAAAACCCTTTTTCTTTCGATTTCTACTGAAAATTCCACTGCTTTTCTGCTGTAGAAAATAATCAATAAATCATAATTTTTTATAGACAAATCATTAATTGACATTGTCGCAGTACAAATTTTTTGGCATAATTTTTTCAAGCCTCCCACCCTGTATTTTTTCGGCTTCCGTTGAGAAATAGAAGGAAAACGAAAAATTGGAAAATTTATGTCAGAAGGAATTTTCACAGAAAAAATGTCAGTGAAGTTTTACAAAGAAATAGAGATCTATCGATGGAATTATCGATGAAATAGTGAGCATAAAAAAAACTCTACTAAATTTTTTTATCGAGAAAAAACTAGCTGCAAAGTGGAATAATTTTTAATTGGGATAATGAAACAAATTATAGAATTCCTAGCAGAATTATCTATCGAAAGCGTTAGGATCTCCTATTGATTTTCGTAATAAATAAACCCTCCGATCACCGCATGTAACCCCAATACTGACGCAAACATTAGATACATCTCATTTGTTTTCTTTCTCAATAATGCATCTGGCTTGCCGATTTTTAATTATGATCAGAGTAAATAACTTCTTCCATCACCAGAGGAGAAAAATAATAAATAATTTTCGGAATATTCGTGATGTCGAATAAACATCGTTAATACGATTAATGGAATCAGATTTCAAAATGTTTCGACTTGGTAAAAACAAATTTTTTTATCATTGGATTCGATGCGAGTTCCTACAAATAATTTATCAAAAGTGTTGTTGAGGTGTTTATTCCAAAATCCTCTGCTAAATGGTCTCATCCACCTTTGAATCCAGTGTTTAGAATTAATTTCTATTCTCAAAGTGAGGAAAATCCTTGAAACTTGAGTGTGGATGTGAGAAATTGTCATTCACATAGTTTACTATGAAAATATTTATTCCCCATTGATACATTCTATTTCGATTCATTTATAGCTCAAGCGATAGCTCAGAGACCAAGAGAACGTGGGCGTCTACGTCAAATTTATCCAAGGATGAACCTTCAAAGCCAAATACATTGCCGGCAGAGGAGTGGAGCAATTCAGCAGTTGACATTTCCAGTAGGGATATCCAGATTAGTGGTAACAGACCGAAGAGCTATGTGGGATCAGCCTCTGACACTGTAGCCTCATTTCGCCGTCATTCCGTTGATGAAACGGCGCTTTTTGCGAATGATAGGTCCGAGGTGAAGCCGCAGACGCTGCAGATCAGGCAGGTCATTGATAAGAGCTCCAGTGGCTCCGAAAATGATGTAGCGTTTATTGTACAGGTGAAATATATTTTTTATGCATTTCTCATGAGAACATGGGGAGAAATCAAATGTCTCCAAGCACATTAGTTCAAAAATCCTGTTGGAATTCGAGTGGAAATTTTAGTAGTTTTGTTTGTCGATCGCACAAAAAACTATGAGTACGAATTGATTTTTGTGGCGGTGTTTTTGCCATTTCGTTTGGGGTGTTTTACCTTTTCCATGTTGGCGTTGAAATAACCTAGCTGCAGGGGTAATTTGCACAATAAAAGATAGATCCTCCCTACACTGTTGGATTCTTTCCATCACTTGTGCGTAAAGCGAAATTTTACGCTGCAGGGGTAATTTGCACAATAAAAGATAGATCTTCCCTACACTGTTGGATTTTTTCCATCACTTGTGCGTAAAGCGAAATTTTACGCACGCTCCGCGTGCGCAAAATCCCGCTTTCCACACATTGTGATGAAAAATAGGGTTCGATACTCGTGGGAAAAGAGTTCTTTGATCCTTGGGAGGGTAGCACTCGCAGCGAGCGCTAGAGACCTCTCACAAGTCAAAAAATACTTTTACGCACTCGTATCGAAATACACTGTATTTTAAATTTAAATAGTAACTGCATTTGAATTCTTAATGTTGGGAATTTTGATTCCGTTTGAGGATATCCAAGTACTTTGGCTATTTTTTCTTCAGTGAAATGATTTTCTACTTTTGTATCTGAACATCAGAGCTTTCATTTGAGCCCCATTTGACCCTAAATTTTCGAATATTTTACAATAATTTTATTGTTTAAACTTTGCATGTCGGATTTTGAATCTTGATATTGAACCGTTAGAAATCATTTTGAAAATTGAAAAAAAATAGAGTCTACTTTTGGAGGAAAATTGATGAAATAATTAAAAAATTGCAATTTTTAAAAATTACGAGCATCTTCTACGAATAATTGATAAACAATAAATTTTCCACTATAAAAATCATTTGTTCGGAATCGTAACAAATTTATTCATATTCAGAATTTTACCAGAAATCTCTTTCATGCCAAAATAAATAAGAGTTTCAAATGTTTAAACAATTTCAATTATTTATTTATAAAGCAAGAGTGTTGAAAAATAATAATAATTTCGTGCAAAATGTAATTTAAATGACGTTGAATATTCATGATTTTTTTCAAATTTTTCTGACGTAATTTGATTGACAAATTTGATGATTGGAAATGGTTGAATCGATAGTGTGGTCTGCACGAAACTGCTAAACTACTTGGATATCCTTAACCCTAGTCTGGTCACTAAACGGGACCCTGTGACTTTGGGCACTTCCGCGGGGATTCCCCGCCGTGTTATTTAGGGCTTAGCGTTGCCGAATTTACTCTATACTGCCCAAGCACGTTTAGCGCGTAAGTCAAAAGTGTCCACTTTACCTTATCCTCCCCTACCATTGTGTAGGTAAGTAAGACAAAACAAAATTCGGAGAGTGGTGCGGAAAAGACAGAAGGAAAAACGGAAATCGAGAGGCTAAAGGCCCAATTAGCCGAAATGAAGGCGCGCTGTGAGAGGGTAGAGCGTGAAAAAGGTGAAATATTGCTGCGAAGATTGGCAACCATGGACACTGTATCTTCCAAGAGCGCGAAGAACTCCGAAGTGTCGCGACTGCAGAAATCAGTAAAAGAATTGCAGTCCAAAAACGAGGGTACGTGAATGGTAACCAATAGCGCGGCAAATAAAACGACAAATGATTATGGTTTTTATTTTTCTTAAGCCTTGAGCGATGAAAAAGCAACACTCTTGACGAAGATTAAGAGTCTGGAGAAGGAAATGGGTGCGAAGAATGGTACCAGGGGTGAACGAGATAGATTCACGACGGAGGATCTAAAATCGAAACTCAAGGCTGCTGAGACACTTTGTGAAAATCTTATGGATGAGAACGAGGATATGAAGAAGGAAATCCGAGAGTTGGAGGAGGAAATTTATGAGATGCAGGATAATTTCAGGTTCATACTGCAATTAACAGTTGCATTCTCATTTGCATTGTTGTGGCTTTCAAGTACATTCCAGGTCAAATTATTCATGAAATTTCCGATTCAATGTTGAAGGTGTAGAAAGTTTGAGAAAATGCAATTTACACTTTCAAAGCGTAGGTAATAGTTAAAATTTAACTTTCCAAATTTTTGCATTAGATTGACTAAATATTGTCTAAAAGGTCGGAACAAAGGCGAAGTGATTACTGAATAAAGAACATAACTTCATCGAACTTGATGAAACGATTGCATTTAAAAAATAATTGGCTTGTTATTATATTGTCAAATTGGGGTAATTGACACAAACCCGCCCAATATTATACCAAATTTAATGAACTCTAGCCCTTAACATCACGTAAAATTGCCTTGAAAACGCCTTGGCGAAGGCTTTTAATTAATTAATTCTTGTTCTTTTCTCATCTCTCGCGATTGCAATTAATTGGTTGGCATTAAACTTTAAAAAATAATTTCATCCTTATGAATTAAACATAAATCCAATACTCTTGAATAATTAAATAAGTTCACACGCATGAAAAAATTTAATAGAAAACTTAGCGAATTCGCTAGAAAATTCTATTGGAATTCTATTGAAAAATTCATTTGTTTTTTGCACTGATTCTATTAGATATTCAATAAGAAAAAGTCAATCGATTTCGAATTTCTGTTTGAATTTTTCTCTAAGATTTTTTCTATTAGAATTATTGGGCACAAAATTTTCTAAGTTTTTTCTGCTGCATTTTGTTTTGTTTTGCATTGTAGAATCCGAGTGGAAAAAACTTAGAAAATTGATGCCCAAGCATTCTTATAGAAAAAATCTCAAGAGAAAAATTTAAACAGAAATTCAAAATCTATTGACCTTTTCTTATCAAATATCCAATAGAATCAGCGTAAAAAACAAAAAACAAATAGAATTTTTCAATAGAACTCCAATAGAAATCCTATAGAAACATCATAGAAGTCCGATAGAATTCCAATAGAATTTTCTAGCGAATTCGCTAGATTTTCTATTTTTTGATACGTGCAATTCCCGTGGAAACGTGGAACTTGAGGCGAGTAGCTTGAATTTTGAGGAACACGTAATGAAAATTGCATTTGAAAAGTTTTCCCAGTGGATTTCTACATCTTCATCCCGACAAATTGTTTTCAATTCTCCTTCCGCAGGGAAGAACAAGCCGATGAATACACAAACCTGAGGAAAAAACTCGAACAGTCCAACAAAAATTGCCGAATACTCTCGTTTAAACTCCGTAAAATTGAACGTAAAGCGGAGCAACTGGAGACAGAGAAAACCGATGTGGAAACTAAATATCAAGGGGTAATTATGTTTTATCAATCAATCACCTATTGATGATTTCTCAACTGTTGTGGATACACAGGTGAAAAGTATGGAAGAAAATCTCAAGAGACTGGCTATAGATCTCAAAGCGAAGGGATTGGGCAAATCCACTGGATATACTACGAATGCTCAACTAAAGAAGATGATGGAAGACATGGAAAGAGATTTGGGTAAGCCAGTCTCACGCCTTTCTATTTCATTTCAAACCGTTGGCTCCAGTAGATTAATTAATTAAATTCGTGAAGTGGTATTTTCTCGGCTGTTTCACTCACTTCGTGCATAAATCAGCCACAATTTTAAAGTTCAACGGTTGCTTGAAACGATGAAATCGAGTTTTGACGCATGTGATTGGTTTATTTCAGGCAACATTTTTGGTGGTACCAACGCAATACCCACGGGCAATGACGTACCGAATATGTCTGAACAAGACAACAGCTCTAAATACGATAAACTGTACAAGGAGCATGAAATATTGCAGGCGAAATTGGATAAGGCGTTGAAAAGCCTTGCCACCAGTAAGGACACGACTAAATCCTCGGAAACAAACAAGGCTGAGATTCAAAATTGTAAGTTCATCGAACGACCTTTCTTGAACTGTAAAAATTTCCAACAAGAAGGGAAATAAAATTAAATCACTCACCGACAATTGGATTCAATTGTGAACCGTATGTGAACAATTGATTTGTTCTAAATGTAGGAATGCTGGTTAATTCTCATCGTAGAATATCAGAATTTTTTCGTATTTTCTGGTGCATTCATTGAAAAAAACGCTTTGGTGCAAACTTTTTCTACTAATTTTTATGAATGAAAATCATTGATTCGTTTCATTTGTATTTTCATGTCTGTATATGGTTTTAGTTCTTTTAATTTTTTTATCGAAAGATCCTTTTAGAGCGGGTAATTTTAAAACGTTATCTTTCTTCAGCCTCAGTTTTAGAAAAAAATTGACATTTCAAAGACGGTTTAGTACACTGAAAGAAAAATAAATAAGTTGCCAAACAAATCCTGTTTGGGCAAACAAAATTGTTGGTTAAAAATTACCGAAAAAATAATTGTTTCGAATTCCAAAGTCTCAAACATGAATAATTGCTCTGCTTTCAACAACATCGATATATTTTCTCCCTAAGTGACAAGATTACTCTCATATCGTTATTATTATTTCATTTAAGAATTCATTTTTTGTCTGGGATTATTGAATAGCCGAAACGACAAACTGCTAGCCCTCGTTTCATATAAAACAAGCATTCGCCGGGAGCAAAATACGTATGGGAGCATCGAATAACGAAGAAGATGTGCTAGAAATTACATTTCTTGGTTGCACAGAGAAAAAACATTTTTTGAAAAGACCAAATCTATTTTTGCAATAAAAATTTTCAATCTCGGCGCACGCTTTGCATGTTTAGTACAAAAAAATCCCTTTTTAATTATTCCCTTTATCCCTTAATCCCTTTTTAATTATTTTTAACAAACGATTTTTTTGGCATAAATAAGACTTGTTTGAGAATCCTGCTGTTTTTCTCTCAGTGTATTAATTCTCAGGAGAATCGTGTTGGATTTAATTGAGACTTGTGAAGCTTTAGAACTCACTGAAGACGACAATTCCCCAACTCGCTTCAATTTTCAATCGAAACATGAATATTCAGTACCAAATTATACTGAATTTTCAGTTAATTGAAAATTCAAAAATATTGTTCCTAAATTTTCATCATTTCTCCCAATTTCCGCGGAATAATTAAAATCAAATTGGAATTATCCACTGATTTTTTCAATTGAATTATGAAATCTCACTGATAAAATTTTCTAACATTTCAATAAAACCGTCGCTCGATAAAAATTTCTGTAAAAAGTGCACCGGAAATTTCATTTTAATGAATTCCTGTATTATTACCATGTTTATGCCTCATTTCAGTGAAAAAGAAGTTGAATGAAGCAACGGCTGGTCGTGAAACTGACCGTAAAACCTGGGCAACTGAAAAAACTAAACTAGATGAAGAAAAGGAGAATCTGAAATCAAAATTACTATCGCTGTCAGCTGAAAAATTGAAAGTGTACAACGAAGTGTTAGAACTGAAGAAAGACCTGCAGGCGGCCAAATCGAGCGAGAAAAATAATGTTAAAATTGAAACGACTTTGAATGAATTGAAAAGAGAACTGAGTGCTGAGCGCGATAGGTGTAAAAAGTTGCAGGAGGAGTTGTCGATGTCGAGTGAGAGAGAGAGTAAAATGTCAAAGAATTTAACATCAGTGAGTTGGAATATTTTCCATCGATAAAACGAGTATCATGGATTAAATTATGTATTTTTATAACGTAGGTAGAGCAGGCGAAAGGAACAACCGAAGGTGAATTGAAGCGCATTAAATCAGAATTTGAAAATTCAAAGTCTTCGATGGCGATGAAGATAGCGAAATTAACGGCAGAACTAATGGAAATTGTAAGAGATCGGGATAAATGGAAGGCTCAATTGGAGGAGGATAAGGCGGCGAAAGACACAGAAGTAGGAAGTCTGAAGAAAAAGATGGCAGCGCTCGAGAAGGCAGAGAACAATGTGAAAAAAATGAACGAGATGAAGCAAAACTACAGCGAAAAAATAACAAGTGGGTTCCCCATCAAATCCAATTATATCATTATGAACAAATCCACTAAATGATATAATTCATTTGCTTGCAGTTCTCGAGGAGGAATTGCAAAAAGGTCAGCAGTTGTATGATGAATTGCAGCTGAAACACGCCAATCTCCAAGATGATAAAAAGAAGATAGAAAGTGAAAAAGAAGCCTTCCACAAGTATAAACAATATTGAGAAACCTCAATCAATTGAAAACATTGTACCGTGCATTTAAACATTTCCTAATTACAGAAAACTAGCGGAGTATCAGGTAAAACTAGAAATGACGAAAGAGCGCATGGAAAGTTCGGAAAAACTTCAAAAATCTAAAGAAGAACAGTGGAATGAAGAGAGACGACGACTCCAGGTGATTAAATTTGTTTGACACTATTAAATTTTTTTATTCAATTCGTAGTAACAGACTAATTTCACAAACTTGGAACCTTGAATTCAATTTAAGGATATCCAAGTTCTTTGGCTATTTTTTCTCCAGTGAAATGCTCTTCTACTTTTATAGTCGACTATGAGAGCTTTCATTTGAGCCCCATTTGATCCCGGACATTTTACAATGATTTTATTATTTACAATTTGCAGGTCCAAATGTCAACTTCGATAGTGAACCGTTAGAAAACATTTAAAAAATTAGAAAAAAATACAAAGTTTACTTTTGGAGAAAGATTCACGAAATAATTTAAAAATTCCAATTTTTGAAAATTGCGAGCATTTATTGTAAATAATTTATAAACAATCAATCTCCACCATAAAAATTATTTGCTCGGAGCCGTAACAAATTTATTCATATTCAGAATTTTACCAGAAATTGATTTCATTTAAAAAATGAGGTTTCCGAAAGTTGAAATGAATATTTAAAAAATAGTAATTCTATGCAAAATGTCATTTGAATGACGTTAAATGTTCACGATTTATTTTTCAAATTTTCTCGCACAATTTAATTGATAAATTTGATAATTGAAAACGGTTGAATCTATAGTGTGGTGTGTACAAAACTCTGAAATGTACTTGGATATCTTTAATACCAAATTATTCATGAATTGTGTCTTTATGATAAAAATCTAAACAAACTAAATTTTCTTATCTGTGAGACAAGCAAAAGTTTTCGCAGAAATTGAGAATCGCATTTAAAGCCCGGGTATACAATCTTCCGAACGTTATCTCGATGTCTCCTTTCATCTTTCGTCATCTGAAATTGTCAATTAAGTCCTGCATCATGCAGAAGTTTTGAAAAATGATGAATGAATAATAAAAAAAAAGTAGAAGATATTCTCAACTTTTTAAAATAGCATTTTTAATTTATATTCAGAATAAGTTGAATAACAAGAAATTGAAAAATGTATCTGATTTACGGTGACAAATGGCGGCCTGTCACCCAATATCATGCAGGGGGAAGAGTGATTTCGTAAATCTTTTCCCACACTGCACAGAGACATTTATTACGGAAAAGGCTCTTTGAAAAAAGTTGTAATATTTTGGAGAATTTTTCCTATCCAACTAATCTCTTATGACGTCACAAAGATGTGTAACACTATATAAATTCCCTTCTTTAATGAAAAATGACAACGTATTTGTTTTTCGTTCAGTGTACTAAACAGTCTTTGAAATGTCAATTTTTTTCTAAAATGAGGCTGAAGAAAGATAAAGTTTTAAAATCACCCGCTCTAAAAGGATCTTTCGATAAAAAAATTAAAAGAATTAAAACCAGATATAAAAATGAAAATACAAATGCTGTTTCAAATTCAATCATAAGCCGAATCATCTCAATTTTAGGAGCAACTCAAGGAACGGGAGAAACCTTCAGTGACTAATATCCATCTGGAGGAATCCCGAGAAGAGGTCAATCGACTGACGAAACAGGCAGAGTCCTTGAAAATTCAACTGGACGACATGAAAAGAATCGTAAGTATGACACAAGCCTGCGCAAAGGAAAAAAGATACAAACCTAATAATTGATTGAATCATCCTCCGCAATGAATGGAAAGAACGATGACCTGGCAAGCAAACTGAACGATTACAACGCAGTTACTAAGATCCAGAGAAATCTGTCTGCCGACACGTCAGCCCTAGACCAGGAGTTACGAAATACTAAAGCATCGCTAGCTAACGTAGAGAAAGCAAGGAAGACGGATTTGGCACAGTGTAAGATGCGCTATGAGAATCGAATAAAGGCTATAAATGATGAGATACAGTCGATACAAAATCAATTGTCACGGTACAAACGCGAGAGAGACACATACAAGCACATGCTCGAGGGTGCACAGAGGACGATTGGAGAATTGAAAGCAGCCAGGCAGAGGAGACAGTCGACAACATCCACTGGTAAATCAGATGAGGATGAGGAGTCTACGGGTACTAATGTGTCGACATTGGAAAGACAAATAAGCCTTATGGAGGATGAGTTATCTGAGAGTAAACTCGAGGCATCAAAATTGAAGACGGAATTAATTTCGGAACGATCTGCTTGGCAGATTAAATTGTCGGAGCTGCAGTCTAGAGTTAATGAGGTGAAGTTGACGATTCTGATTTCAATCTTTGGAACTTTACGTAGTTTTGTTGTTTTGATACTCTGAGCGTTGGATATAGAACACTGACAGAAAAATTTTCTAATATGTAGGGGAGGTTGGGGTAAAACGGACACTTTTGACGTTTTTTTAACTGGTAATGAGGGGTTGAAATGAGGATAAAATTTAATAATTTTTTTTTCAATACAAAGAACAATTCTTTTCCTTTGTGATAAACTAGCCTAAACTGAGCTCAATTGATCAATTTGTTTCTGAGTTATGAATAATTAAAAAAAGTCTAGTGTCCGTTTTACCCCACCCTCCCCTAACTATTTACTTGAGAGAAGCAAATTATTTTCCATAGTTTAAATCTTACGGAACTCGAATAAATTCTCATTTGTCACTATTGTTCCGCGTTAAATCATGAATATATTGGATATCGAAATATTGAAAGTGCATAAAAAATCACGCAAATGATAAATACTTGGATTGACGATTCTTCTACGCGATTTGAGTGAGTTCAATTTGCGATAAAATTATACTTGAGGACAAGAATATTTTAAGGCATGAGACCTTTCTCGGCTATGTGAGTTGAGATGCCTGGGAGAATTAAGGATATCCAAGTACTTTGGCTATTTGTTCTCCTGTGAAATGCTTCTCTACTTTTGTAGTCGCACATCAGAGCTTTCATTTGTGCCGCATTTGACCCCAAGTTTCCGAACATTTTACAATGATTCGATTTAAATTTGGCAGGTCTGAATTTGAATCTCAATATTGAAACGTTAGAAAACATTTTAAAAATCTGAAAGAAAAAATAGAAAATTTACTTTTGGAAAAAAATTTATGAAATGATTTAAAAATTGCAATTTTTTGAAATTTCAAGCATTTACTATAAATAATTTATAAGCGATGAATTTTCAACCATAAAAATCATTTGTTCGGAATTGTTACAAATTTATTCTTATTCAGAATTTTACCATAAATCAAATTCATGGCTAAAAAAATAAAGTTTCCGAAAGTTTAAACAAGTTCAATTGTTCATTTATAAACAACGAATATTGAAAAAATTAATAATTCAGTATAAATTTTTCTCATTTCCCCATAGACAACTTCTCTAGATTTCAATCATTTCCGTAATCTTATAGTTCAACGACTTCCATTCTCCTACAAAACGCTGTATTATTGATTAATCATTGGGATAAAATTGCGCTGCATTGCTCCATAACGATATTATTTCCCACTCAAACCAAAAAATTTTCCACAATCGCCAGACCGGTATTATGGCCATATCTTTAAGTGAGATAAATGGCTCACTCGAAACACCTCGAGCATTTATACTAATGATTACGTGAGGATCGTAATACTTTAATCTCAATTACAGCTTGAAGAGGATAGAATATTAGTGAGTGGTAGAACGAAGATTCCTGGATTGAAGGCGCGCATTGAGTTAGCGTGGCAGAAAGAACGGGAGGAACAGCAAAAACTGTTGCAAGAGACAGCGACTCTCGCTAGAGATCTACGGCAGACGCTGTATGAGGTCGGTCACGTAGTACAGTTAAAATCGACACTCCACTTGAACCTTTTACCGTATTTCCATGGATTTAAGCTTCTTCATCCACATCCCCCGCTCCATCAATACCATTACCAATTCATTCTTCACTCGTTTTTTTTCTTTATTTATACCATAATGTGAAGTGGTTTTGCATGCGCATTTATCGGTATTTGTTATAAACCGTCTCGTTAAAGGTCGAGAGAGAACGTGACAAGGAGCGTCTTGAGAACAAACGGCGTCAAGAGCAAACCCAGAAGATATATGAAGAGGAGAAAGAGGAGACTAAGAAAAAATTAATCGAGGTAATGATGCATTCGACAACACTTTATAATAAACAAGTGGGAAATGGCTCTTGTATTGCATATAGTACACCCGGAGAAATGATTTTTTTGAATCAAATAAAAATCTTTTTTTACTTGTTTCAAGAAATAGGATTTCATTGTCTTAAACAAACAATTTATTTATTTCAAGTAAATAAAAAATTTATTTGAATCATATAAAGATTTATTAATAGCAAAAAATAAAATTTAATTGACATAAACAAAACTTCGAATCCAAATTTTTATTCAATCAAAAAAAATTATTTGGTACAGTTTACATAAACTTATTTATGTGATTTAAATAACCTCTATTTGAATGATTTAAATAAATCATTTTTCTGGATTTATAGTTATTTTTGCTAATAAATTAGCAATATGCTTCCGAATGGTTATTTTGCACATCATTTCCTTCTGTCGTGTATAATTCATTGTTTATTTCATTTTATTAAATTGAATAAGATTTCTTTTCAACTGATTTTGTCAGATTTTCAACTTAGTTGAATGTTATCATCATCATTATTCTTATTATCCCTTTCTTCTATACAACCGATTGTCTTCTTTACGATTTTATCTCTCCCCGCAGCCCTTCGATAAACTGTTGATAGAATAATTTTATTTATACATACTTGATTGAATTTGGAACATCTCATTTGAAGAAACCATCAGAACGCTCACTTTCAGGGAAATTCATGAAAAATTCGAAATTTTTAACAATCATCGTAAAAACCAAATCAACCAATATCGCTATCGTAATCATCATTCAACTTCGACGTAATGGCATCAATTCAAACATTTTAGCTATGGTTGAATTCATTTGAAGCATGATATTCAAAGATATCCCCGGAATTCCGATTTTCAATAAATAAAATTTTTTTGCAAATTTTCGAATAACTCAAAATAATGATTATTGCTATCGTCTTCATTTTCGAACTCGGTCAAAAGGACATCCAAACAAATTTCTTAAGCTATCATTCAATGAATTCAGAACATTTTTTTTTGTTATCGTGGGCAACTGATTTTCGAAAAAATTCGAAAATTAAAAAAACCAAGCGATTAATTGAATTTTAACTAATGTCGATGGATAGCGCCCAACAATACCTTCATTTGAGAAAAAGAAATGATTTAATTCCATGGATTCATTAGCGAAGAATTGAAGGAAAACTACCGCACACATGCACGGAGAGAAATTATTTGTAAAAATTCTAGTGTTGGTAGTGGAAAAAAACCCAATACACCGGCTATGAAAAATTCTAGTGCTGTTAAGGTAAAATTTCTCGGGATTTTTGATAAAATTTCTGGTATTTCTATGAAAATTTCCTATTAGAACGGGACAAATTCACATTCTAATCAATAAAATTTCCAGTGCTGGCGCTGAATTTTTTTCCTGACCGACAATTTGCGCCGTTTCTCCCGTGCCAGCACTAGAATTTTTTAGAGAATTTCTCTCCGTGTACATACATACACCCATACGTACGGACACGGTCTAAAAATTGCATTTTCAGACGTTTTAGATCATAATAGGTCGATATAATCCAAAAAATCCAAAACTTAAATTTGCACGATACAATCCTTCCATTCGGAAGCGCTAATTAATAATTTTATTAATTGTCCGTGATTTATGAATGGGACAGCTCCAGTGTGATCTTCTTGAGTTGCGAGACGCCCACGCGAAACTGAGAACGAGCAATGAGAAGATGAGACGAGAAAAGGAGCGTCACGAGAGGGAACGAGAGGAGCTCAAGGATATTATAGCGAGTAAACGTCGTTTGGAGCAGAACGAAGCAAGGAACATGAATATTCTACTGCGACAGGTCGACGATCTGATGAAACTATTCCCAGAGTTGAGTGGGAAGGTTGAGAGCAGTAAGGTACCAGATACTTATACACCAACTCCACCGCGAAGAACTAAGGGACCAAAGTCGAGAGAATCCTCGCCAATGTTGGATGGCAAAGATGACAGTTTCAAAGGATCCTCAAACAATGTCAGTGTTGGCAGGACTGACAAGTTGGAGTATACTATTAAGAAGCTGATGGATGTCGCTAAGGAGATGAATGAAGCGAAGCGGTCGATGGAGAGTGAGAGTGCGTCCAGAAAGAAGCTCGGCAAACGGTAAGAACTTCCCTGGTATTCGCCTCGAAAACTTGTAATTCTTGGAGAGAATGGGAAAAGATTATTTTTATGGCTGAAGAAATCTCCAGGAAAAGTCTTCTGACCTTTTCTCATGAAATCACTTATCAAGATTATTTGATATTCGAACAAACATGAAAGGAAGGAAGGATTGACCTTTTCTGTTTGTTTTACAACTTTAAGATAACGGGATACCGTAGGATGATCGTAATCTTACGTCGAATTTTCAGAGCAAGTTCAATCGATAATGACAGTGGACATGGTTCATCATCGAGTCGTTCGAAGGCCAGTCTTAAACGCAAAAGTTTATCATTGGAACAGACGTCTGGGAAAAATGATCAGGCAATCTGGGGAACTGACAGCAATCTCTCCAGCATGGCGTCCCTTGATTCCGATGCTGATTCTCGTCGTTTCAGTAACCAGAGGGACTCCAGTGTTGACAGGTTTAGATTAGTACTATTTTTATAATGTTGAGTAATTTCTTTGACTGATCAGTTGATGAAAAAATTGGCGTTCAAGCGTGAAAGTTCAACAGAAAACCTAGCGAATTCCCTAGAAAATTCTAGGATTTCTATTGGAATTCTATTGGAAAATTCTACTTGTTTTTGTGCTGATTCTATTGCATATTTGATAGGAAAAAGTCAATATATTTTGAATTTCTGTTAGAATTTTTCTCCTGAGATTTTTTCTATTAGAATTATTAGACACAATTTTCAAAATTTTTTCGCTGGATTTTGTTTTGTTTTGCAGTACAGAATCCGATTCGAAAAAACGTAGAAAATTGATGCCCAACCATTCTTATAGCAAACATCTCAGGAGAAAAATTCAAACAGAAATTCGAAATGTATTGACTTTTTCTTATCGAATATCTAATAGAATCTGCGCAAAAAACAAATAGAATTTTACAATAGAATTCCAATAGAAATCCTATAGAATTTTTTAGCGAATTCGCTAGCTTTTCTATTGAATTTTTTCATATTCGTTGGCCTGTGCATCAAATGGGAGATTCTGAGCCAAAGAAAAAACAAAAGAAAAGATTTTCAAGTACTTTAATGGGAGAAAATTAATACAAAAAAATTAATTGTTTATTGTTCGCTTGCCCCACACACACTTCAAGTGTTAAAAATACTCTAGGGCCTCCAATTTTTGAGCTACTGAGGTTTTTTTTAAATAAAAAAAAAGTGTACAATAGCAATTACGAGTTAGTTTTTTTTAAATTCGACTGGTTCACAGCTAATTTATAATTTTTTTATTTAAAAAATTGCACGATTTACGTCAAATAGCCAGGAAAATGATCTTCAAAATATTTAAAATATGCACTCGATTATTTCAGAACCACGTTTCTACCTATTTTACAAGAATGGTGCAATTTTTTACATAATAAAAAACAAAGTTAGCTGTGTAGGATTCGAATCTCAAAAAACTAGCTCGTAATTATTATTGAAGACATTTTTTCAAAAATTTTGAAAAAAAAACTGTAGCTGGAAAATTGGAGGCCCTGGACTATTTTAAAAACTTTAAGTATCTATGCGGGACAAACGAACTTATTCGGTACTCATTCGTTTTTAGACATACCTAATCCATCTTCAATGTAAGAAAAATCTCACTTTAATAGCCCATGATTTTTCCCCCTAGATTGGTCTCCATATGAGGAAAACGCCGCCGCGCGTCGCTTTTCTTTAATTACAATTGACTGGTTAACCGAAAAAATTCAAAGAAAATTTACTTTGTCAACTGTCTAAAGAATTATAGTAGTTTTTAGCACAACATATTTCCTGAAATTCCTTAAGAAAACAAATCTTTTCGAATAGATGAATTATGTTTCCTATGTTGAATGAAATTGCCCATCACGTGACGTAACCGGAACCTCGCTAAACTCGCCCGGGCAGTGTAGAGTGAATTTGGCAACGCTAGAGTCTAAATAACAGGGCGGGGAATCCCCGCGGAGGTGGCCAGAGCCGCAGTGTCGCCTTTGGTGACCAGACTAAGGTTAAAACATCCGGTGAACAGCCAGTTGCTAGACGGTTAAGGGAAATTTGAGTTTCGTGGTAGGATCTAAAATAAAAGAATCATCTAAAGGGGGATATGATGGCTTCCATACCTTCAAGAATATTTTACTTAGCAGAAAAAAAATTATTTGAAATGAAAATAACAAAGCAGGGAACAATTAAATTAAGAAATAGTTTAATACAGCCCGAAATTCGTAATTTCTGGACGACTAGGCCATATATTTTCTTTTATTTATTAAATCTCGATCAATAGAAAAAATAATTGATCACCTGATTATACACGAGTAATATTATTGAAAGGTGAAATAATCAGTACAATTTTCATTTTATTTATGGAATATTCAATGCAACTTGAAATCGTCCAGAAATTGACCTGCGTACTGTAGTCTCCCCTTAATAGCGAAATAATTTGTTCGTTATGTAATACAATTAATGTTTACAGTCGTTTATCCGGCGGCTCAACCAAGAGTGAAATGCTCCACCGTGATAAAAAGCACAACAAAAATTTGATAAGAAAAATAACAACAAAATTGACAAAATCAGCGAGCGTGGACGATCCAAATAGTTCTTATGATTTTTCACTCCAGGTATTTTCTCATTATTTCGTCTCACGTCATACATCATCAATAAAATTTTAATCTTGATTATACGTTTGCCATAGACTTCCGGCTCTGAAGCGAGTATAATAGAAGACTCTCACAAAACGGAGAAGAAAAATTTGAAGAAAAAACTCAGTGACATGTTTAAACGAGGCTCCAAGAGCAATGGGTAAGGCACTTAAATACCACTGCTGATCCATTAAACGAAATATTTACGAGCTACTTTACATTGACCATTCAGGTTGGACAAAAAGGCGCAGGAAGGCAGTAGGCCCCCCTCCAGGTCGTCAAACGCATGAAAGACATGAGAAGTAACACGTTGACTAAATGATGACCCCATTCACATATATTTCTAGTCAGAATCCAGTTGAAAAAAAAACCGAAATGTGCATATTGATTAGCATTTACCTTCACCACTGTCCAAGGACAAATCCAGCCCTTATCAGCGTGTACATATCAGTGATGGAATGTGAAAAAGTATTGTACAAGAAAATTGAAATAAATACCAGAGTGACCCATGACCATCTCTTCCCTCAGACCCCAGTGACTAATTGTGAAGTTTGTGGACTTCCGATTTCAGTGGAACACCTCCTTTTGTCATGCTCCAACTGTGATAGAATCCGAACAGAGTTGGGACTAGCAGATAATTTAAAAGACTGTCTAAATGGTGACAACTACTAGCCGAAAATTGAGTAATTTTTTAAAGAAACCACACTCATAAATAACATCTGAAACATGTCAGTAGCGAAGCGGTAAAACGGTTTAAGCCGATTTTAACTATTGATCAGTTTTCAATGAATATCTCAAAATCTAAGGGAGATAGCCAAATTTTTGTTACATCCTTTTTTATAGGCCTCAATTTGCTCTATAAAAAAGATTTGTTTGAAATTCAGCTATTCAAACTAGTCAAACGGTCACCGGGCTCAACGAAAATCTCGAGAAACTTCGGGACCCTTCGGGGTCACGGTCAGCTACAAAGAAAATCGCCGAAAAAGTTAGTAGTATCGCTCTAGACACCGAGAGAGACACTCTAATCACAGTATTGTACACGTCGTAACCGCTCAATCGAGTACAACACTGGAGTACATCAACGCGATATATTTGAGTCTAGCGCTTCGTACAGCGTCTCTATTTAATTTAATTCAATTATGAATTTATTCCGAGTTAACTATCAATTATTTTGAGTCAATTATCAAGTTCAATATCGAGAGAATCTCAAATGCAGTGCATTTTTCAAATGATCATTTAATTGACTTTGTCGAGCAACTCAACAGTGTAACATTATTAATTTATCAAGACGCGTGGGGTATTCCACAATAAAGTACATCAACAGTGTGGTTTTATAATTCCACGTGTTTTAATTTTCCACCTCCTTCCACAATTCCACTTTTCCCCAACCGGCATCTCAATTTAGCTTCAATCTCAAACAAGATCGTAACGAAAATTTCATTATCTCTCGTGAATTCGGAGATATTTCTCGACAATTCAGCGAAGCTCAGTATATAGAAGTAATCATTCTGAGCCAGTTCAGTTATTGTATTCTCGTGTAAATATCTTTATCTATATATTTATTTAATTTTTCTTCTTTTTTTTCCTATCTCTTATACACTTATGTTGTATTACATTGTAATTTATTTTTTCATTCTTCTGTAAATAGTCGCTAATGACCACGTTGTCTGTGCGACTAGAAATAAATTTTAGAAAAAATTGAAATAAATAATCCTGGGATGAATCAGCCTATGAGAATTGTTTGTTCGTCGAGGAATCGATAAGTAGGCACTTCGAGATTAGTTGGGGCGGGTCCCTTTCGAATTCTTCCTGCGGCGTCGTAGTGTGAGCCGTGACAAGGGCAATAAAAACCTCCGGGTATCATGCCGGAGTTGATAATCGGTACGCATCCCAAGTGAGTGCATACACCGATTACAACTAACCACTCGGGCTTGTGCACTCTTGCTTCATCGGTCTCAGGGTCCCGGAGCTGCGATATGTCTATGCTTTTTTCTTGATCGATCGTAGCTTGGGACCTGCACGCACAAAGAGGTCAACATTTTATTCAACAATTCGGGTTTTTTTCGCTCGTTTTGATTATTTGGGAACGTTAAACCTGTGGTAAATAAATACTGGCTTCCCTCTCCACTTGATCACGGAGACTTTACCTTCGGGTATGGCGGAGAGGGTCACTTCCATTGTTGCTATGGCCAGCACATCTTTCGCTGCAGCCATGTACTTCACGTAGTGCGCCAAGTGGGATTTTAATGCGTATATACCGGCTATGCTGGAGACTTCAAAAAATAACATTGAGAATTCAGTGCTGGTAAGGTTGAATGATATCCAAGCTGGTTTAGGGATGTCCAAGTACTTTGGCCATTTTTTTCGTGAAGATTCTTTGCTACATGTGTAGTTGAACAATAAGCTTCCATTTAAAGTAGCTCTACCCTTCGGCCGGGCTACACTGTACTTTGGATATTTTCAGTTTTTTAATTTTTCAACTAAATTGCATAGAAAAAATTTGGAAAAATTCATACCCAGTCAGTATTATCTGCGATATTATCTGATATTTTTTTGCGAAACACTATTCAATAAAATTCACTTGATAAAACCAGAGTCTCATTTAATTCTCTGTAGAACTAATGTGTTGACCTGAATGACATGTAAATGTCTTACGAGAACAATCACTACTACGGAAATTATCATTGTTTGGTGGAAACTTTCTTTATTACCTGCGACTACATTGATTTAATACGACAAAAGATCTCTTTCGAGGAACCCAATTTCTCGGCAAAATCTATTTTTCCCCTCAGTGTGTGATCCGTCATTGGTAGAATCAACAATTTTCCGGCCAATCGATAATATCCATTAATTTTTTCGATTTTTCATTTTTTGTCCCGCAATTTAATTCGCAAATTCGCAAATTGTCAATAAATGACAATTTCTGAATCAATACTGCCGTCTGTGACAAATTGCGACAGGTAAGGTTGGTTGGTGGATATCCATAACAACTCAAGGCTGTTTGTCTATCACGCCAGAAATGCTGATGAAAATGTTTTAAAAAGTAAGGATTGCATAGATTTCATGCTAGAAAGGGTACAGTAAAAGTTTCACATTCTTCAAGCAGCTCGCTTATGAGATAATTAGGTAACAAAACTTGAGTTATTATGAGGAATATATAAATTATCAGGGCCTACGGGCGAAATGCAAATTGCTATCAACTTACCTAACGAGAGATGTTCATTGAATTGCGTTATGGAAAAATGTTACCGCAAGTTTCCAAATTACTGATAAGATCGTTCGATAGCATTCCCTATAAGAACTCTAGTAGAAAATTTCCTTATATATTTTTCATTTCTGATCCGCAGAAATTCGCTTACACTGAGAAAAAAAATTCGAATATCTGAAACATATTTACTTGAGACAATTTTTCTTTAATCGCTGCTGCTACGAAAAGTCTAACTCGTTGCGCGTAACATCACTGATAAAAAATATAGTTCGACACGTGCAACGGGGATTTTTCAGCTCGTGTGATAGGTAGCCCTCGGCTTCACCTCGGGCCTTCACCTTCAGACCTGTGAAAAACCTGTCGCCCTTCTATGGAAGTATACTATTTCTTCACTGAGAAAATAATCTAATATCAGATACATATTTACTTAAGACAAGTATATAATTTTTCTTCGATCGCTTAAGGATGTACTGCACCTTTTCGGCCAAAATTCACGTTTTTTTCATTTTTCTGATAAATTATTGATCGGATTGACGCGAAATGATATACCGTTCTTTCGTTTTATCATTATTGACTGACTCACGAAGTTTCATGGTAGTGCAATCATTTTCCTGCATTTTTTCTAAAGTTTTGTAAATTTACGAAGTTTTAGAAAAATCGCAGGAAAATAGTTGCACGATTATGAAATTTCGTGAGCCATTAACGCGGCTCGAGCGTAGCTATATATATACACTGAGAGAAAAAATTATTCCTGCCAAGGATTGATATTCTCGTCAGAAGATAATATTTTTTCAGAAGGAATTTTTCCAGGACAGTCACTTTCAGAGAGTCCAAGTCTATCCTCAAAAATTACAGTGATGTTGAACAATCTGATTATCATGTTACCTATGACCTTGACAAAATGTTCTCCGATATCTTCCGGATTTTACAAATTGGCGATTTTCTCAGGTAAAGAAAATTGGAATAATTCCAAATGTTAATAATTATTATTGGAGTTTCTTCGAGGTCATATGCAGAAGAATATTCTTATAGATCACCATAATTCTCACGCTTGGAAATGATTTCGGAGCACCTGGAAATGACTGGCCTGGAGAAATACCTTCCAAAAGAGATATTTTCTTCTACTAAGAGTATGAAAAAGATATCACCAATACCATTTCCTTAGAAGGAACAAATTTTTTTCTCAGTGTAGGGAAAAGCGGGGATTTTTTGAGACATCCCCGCGCTCTTATGACTGAACTAAAAAATATGATCCTTAGCTAGAAATGTACCTTATTTTATCCGGCTGCGTCTGAAGTGGACCCTAGATCGTTTCTCAGTTGGAAAATAAGGTAAATTATAATACAAGCCTGTGAGTTGGTTTGACAGCCAAACCGCTGTGAACTTGTTATGTCTCCCAATGGCGGGAGTTATGTGTCGAACCAGCTTGTATATTTGCATTTTAATTCGCATTATTTTTCAATAGAGAAAAACTTTCTTATCTATTTTAGCCGCAGACAGATAAAGATACATTTCTAGCTAAGGATTATATTTTTTGGTTCAGTCGTAAAAGTGTGGGGATATCTAAAAAAATCCCCGCTTTTCCCTATGTATATAGCTACGCTCGAGCCACGTTAAGTAATGATAAAATGCAAAAACGGTATATTTTTTCACGTCAATCAACAATTTACCAGAAAAATTCAAAAAACGTGAATTTTGGCAAAAAGAGTGTAACACATCCTTAATTCTCCCAGGCATTTCGACTCGCGTGGCCCGATATTAAAGGTTTCACGCTTTAAAATACTCTTGTACTCAAGTATGATTTTTTCGCAAATCAACTCACTTAAATCGCGTAGAAGAATCGTAAATCTTCAAGTATTTATCGTTTTCATGATTTTTTATGCACTTCCGATATTTCGATATGCAATATATTCATGATGTAACGCGGAACAAGAGCGATAAATGAGAATTTATTCGAGTTCCGTGAAGCGCAAACATTCTGAGATTCAAGCCATTGAAAATAATTTACATCTCTCAAGTAAATATGGTCTCTCAAGTAAATATACATCGTCGCCGTATAGCCAAAGCGGTGTAAGTGGCAAAAACCCTCTTTTTGAAAGACAAAAGGGAGTATATCCCGTTTCAATGGTTTTTTGACTTTTCGTCCAATTTCTGAACAAAAATGTTTTAATAAAAAGTCTCTACCAAAGGGGTGTAATTCCCAATTTTGAACGATATAGAGACTTGACTCCTCACTTACGCCTGTTTGCCATTATCAGTCATACACCTTGAGAAAACACATTTATCGTTAGAATTATAACCGAAAGGATGTAACTCTGCACTTACGCTTCTTTGCCACTATCAGTCACACACCTTGGAGAAGGGAGCTCATTTTACCCTCCTGATCCATTTGGCCGTACTCTACCTACTTTTAATTGATTTTAGAAATGCTCGAGGAAATGAGAGAATATTCGTTATTCTTAATATAATTGTAAAATAAATTACAAGCAGAAAAAATAAGAATGTACACTTTCGAGTTACGTCTCTTTTTCATTGTTGATGCTGCAAGTGAACTAGGATATCAATCAAGAGTCTACAATTGATGGAGCGCATGTGCTGGAGATATGCCCCTTTAATTCTGGCTATTTGGACTTGCGCCTCTTTGCCGTTATTCATGCTCTAAGTCGACTAGAATATCAACTAAGAGACTAAAAGTAAAGGGGAGTTTGTCCTGGACATACATCCCTTTTGTTCTCATTATTTGGAGATACGCCCATTTGTCATTATCAAAATTAATTGATGAAAAAAGTTGAAAAAAATCGGTAAATTCAATTTAACGATTTAAAAAAACATACATTCCTTTAGCTTTGAAGAAAAAAACTCGGAATGATGGGACTTACGCCCCTTTGACTATACAGCGACGAAATTAGGGATTTTGTCTCTCAGTGTGTCGCCGTTAGAATTAAAATTACCCATCGAAAACTTGACCCGAAAGTACGTTTGCTTATCTCATTTCACGTTCTAATGTGACATATTTTTTTACCAAAGGTTGTAAGAGAAGACACTCCTTTCCTATCGGCTGCATTCTCTTTCGATGGAAGTTGTAAATTCTTAGTGGATTCCCGACGATCTTTGTCAAAATTTGGAAAGTGAATGTCGCTGTGTGCTAATGGGGAAAAGGCAAAAAATCATTTCAATATCTATCAGATAACAAATGGAATAGAATAGTTTTACCAAATTTAATATTCCAAATGGAAGTTTTTGAACCATTGGAAATACGAAAAAAGAAACGATGTAACATTATCTCCTGACTGTAGAAAGAAAATACATTTGACGACTTCATGCAGATGTGTCTTGAAGTTGGGCTACAAAGTCTGTCTTTTATTTTAGTTAACTACACGGAGAGAAATGTTCAGTAAAAATTACGGAATTCACAATTCGCTCACCGATTACGGAATCGACTCAGAAAACTTGAGTGACGGTATCCTAATTTTTCACAGGAGATTCAGATAAAAATTACGGAACGCTCTGGAAAAATTCCATGACAGTTCTCTCGCACTACGCGCTCGGGATTTTAATCTGCAAAACTGATCCCTCTCGTTGCTATGCAACAAAACATTCGGGAAATATCCGATAATTTTGAAGGTCTTGGGGTATTAATAGCTGAATATTTCTCTCCGTGTAGGACTAGGAAAGGAGGAGCGCTTCGCGCGCGCATGATTGGCTAGTGATTTATAAATATTATTATTTATCGTTAAGTATTTATTCATTTATTAAAAAGGAGTTGATGTCCGCTTTTATTATTATTCGATCTGTGAACAAATTTGAAAAATGATCTTTGACAATTTGCAAGAAATTATATGCATCTAAAAGTGCAATCGATCCCATTTTCCAAATGTGGAAATAAAAATCTTCGAAAGAAACTGTCCGCTGTCGAAATTCACAATTTTTTGTTTTGTTTTTGCCTTTTAAGACGTTATTCTTCTATTTTTTTCAATATGAATATAAATTTATTGTTCACTTCTAATACCACAAGAGCTTCAAAATTGTCGGGTATTTTCCGATAGGTTCGTTTGTATGCAGGGAACCTTGAGGAAAATGCCCGATTAATTTTGAAGCTCGTGTGGTATTCGGGAGGTTATTTTTCCAATCCAAATGTCGGGCAATATAATTGGACCATGAGACGAAACTCACAATTGAGAAACGAAAATTGTATAATTAATACAACGACACCATTGAATTCAATCTGTCAGTTTGACGAGGGGTTAATTCGACTACATGATGTTTTGTTTTTTATATAGCAACTACCAGAGAAAATTATCAAAAAATTATCAGTTGAAAACCCTGTACCACGTGATGTTGAATGGGCCAATTACATTGCCCGATATTTGGGTTGGAAAAATAATCATAATAATTCCATGAGCATATTTGTTATATCCAAAGGTTCAACTTTTTTTGAAATTTGAATATTCGAATTTTTTAACTATTTATTTTTCCCGTTCATCTTTCCTGCATAGCTTGACTGTCATACATATATGTATAATAAACTTAAATATATATATATATATATATTTATTTATTATCAGTTTTAAAACGTTTCTAAATATACCATACATATATATATTTTTTAAAGAATTTAAAACATTTATTTATATATTTATTTATTTATAAGTTAAGATAATCTTGAAATATTCCTAAGTCTAGCATATATGCTTGACGAAATAGATTGCTGATCAAAAATGTTTCACTTATTTTTTAACAGAGGATCATTATAATAAATTTCGACAAAATGAATTTGACGTTGATTTATAAGAGAACAATTTTTTTCACATAGTCCTAAAATGTTAATCAATTACTTGACTAAATGCTACTTATACTAAATCTTCGACGCTTTGACGTCGATCCGTCAGGTGCCCACATATCAAGACCTCTGAAATGATTCATCTTCGGTGTAATAGTTTCTGACACTACCGTGGATCCATCCATTGTATGTCCTACATCGTTTGAATACCGCTTCTTCCACAAATGAACGCAACACTCTATTGAGAGAGTCAAAAATGCGAGTAAAGTTCCGGCGCCGAGAATGAGAAACATTCCTTGTGTGTCATCGAGAGCCAATGATCGATCCTGCACTGGGATTTTCCGTCTTTTATACTCCTCCGATACCTGGGAATGTAAACTCACGGATGACCTTCGACTCCTGTCATGCATTCAATTCTCCTAAAGATTAGAAATCACTTACCGGGAGTAATAAACCCTCAGCTGTTCTCTGAACATCCCATTTAACGTCTCTGATGATCTTTTGAGCGAGACCGGATTGTCGTGCTCGGATAATAACCTTATTGAATTCTTCGGTGTAAATCGAGTTCTTCGGAAGTACGAAAGTTACACCGAAATTTAAGAGACATTCTTTACTTATGTGCATTGGTGATCTCATCGTGGCCCAACTGTCGAAATACACGGAAATTGTTTTAGAAAAAAGTATTATGAAAATAACGTAAAAGTTGCGATCTAAAACATATTTTTTAAGGAAAAACGTAAACATTTTCATTTGTTACGCCCTAAAGACATTATTGACTAAAACAATTTATTAGAGTGTTATGGAGATATTTGTTGACTGGCTTGTGTAGATGTAAAACTGTAACAGTAGCATCAAGGAAATAAAATATTCTATTCTACGTAAACATTTTTGCTTTCCGTATAAATTTTCCTTTGAACGAGAAAATTGGGAGCGAAAACGTAACTTTTATCCGTTTATGTTTATAGGGTCAATGTTCTAATGAAAAATTAAAGAATTCGATATTAGGGGGAGAGGGGAAACACCGCTTTTTTAAATTACCACAAGTATTTGATGAAAAATTTCAGTCAATTTTTCTCAATGTCTTTTTTATGTAAAAAAAGTGTAGGCATAAATTTTCATTTTTCAATAATATTGATTTTTTATTCAACAGGAGGAATTGAGTAAGTTTGAATTCCATAGGATTGATTTTGCGGAAGATCATATCGAATGCACAAAACAAATTTCGTTGAGAAATGTGGAAAATTGTAGGGTTTTTACGAATCGAAAACATCGAAAAATGCCAATTTTCGATAAGAAATGAAAATAAATGTCAACACAGATGGACGGAATAAAAGATAGAATGCATGGATGTATGGAATTTGCAAGTACTCAATTCTTTCTGTTACACAAAAAATTAATGTTATAGAAAAATGAAAATCTCATGATGTTTCACACCAACACTTTTTTTACATAAAGAAGAAATTGAAAATAATTCTCAATAACGAAATTACAATAAATCTGGAGAATTATATTCAAAATTGTCGGTCTCCATAAGCCGGTCACTCCATGGAGAATGGAATAGACCAATGTAGGAAGAGAAGGGGGTGGGCGGACACCGGACAGATTTTCAATCCCTCATTCACGTTATAATTTACTTTTGTGGTGAAAATATGCATCCGAAGTTTTTTTTCTTTTTTTTCGACTCGTAAAAAACCCTACGAGTCCTCCAATTTTCAATATTTTTCAACAAATTTTTTTTGTGTATTCCATACGACCTTCCGCAAAATCAATCGTATAGAATTTGAAATCACTCAATTCGTTTTGTTAAACACCCCAAAATGGTATTTAAAAATAAAAATTTCATGATATGCCATGCCTATACTTTTTTAATAAAAAAGAAATTAAGTAAAAATAATAATAAAAAATAATTATTTTCCATTAAATGCTTCTGTTACTTTAAAAAAGTGGTATGACCCCCCTTAACGAGAAACTTTACTGAGAAAATAACTCAAGAGGTTTAGCCACCTCCACAGACTTTCTCCGGGAAAACTCACAAATATCATTCGTTTGGTTAAAATCAGTTGGGGGTTGACGTAATATTTTTTGGTGTGTTTCTCCCTTCTCATTTTCCAGGAATTTCTTAATTACTAAATTCCCCCGAGATTAGTACCTGGGTGTGAACTGCTCTTGAACGATGTATTCAAGAAGAATTTTAGAGCCAATAAATGCGTAGGACCAGAAGAATGCCTGAGTGATGTTTCCAATTCCGGCTTTGACTGTTGAAACGTACTGCAGATTCTTCAGTAATTTTTTTGCCACTGGCTCATCGATTTTCGTCCAGTTGAACCAAACCTCCCATCCATCATGATCTGTGTTGAAATTTATTTTTAATTCAGTATATTGCAGCGATGGAAGGAGTCAACTCGACTGCAGGATGAGTTTTTGATGAATATATCGGAATCTGAAGGACATGTAGGGAGCAATAGTATATTTCATCACTTGCGCATAAAGTGACATTCTACTCACACTTCGCATGTGCAAAATCCCACTTTTTCCACATTATGATGAAAAATAGGATTCGACACTCCTGGGAGAAGTGTTCTTTAAAGGGAGACTACTATGAGCTTTAAAAATCGCGGGGGTTTGGAGTGAGATTTCTCATACATTGAAGATTGATTACGCGAAGAGAAATATTCAGTAAAAATTACGGAATAATTCTCGTAATCCGTAATGGGGAATCGTTTTCCGGCAATTTCTATAGGAATGGAAGAAAAGAAATCTGAAACGTTTAGTGAATTTTCAGGTTCATCACCGAACAAAGTAAGAAATTGTCACATAATTTTTCCCGAAAAAATAAACTTTTAAAGAAACTTCCCGACTTATTATGCCTCCAAAATCAAACATTCTTGAACATTCAACAGTTTTTATGAAGCTGATGCTTTCTTTCTACGTTTCGTTCCGTAAAATTTCTGAGTCGTTGGGGAAAAATTATAGAACGACTTGTTGTCCCCACAGCGATGAGTTATCAGACGTATGCTTAATTTTTACGGAACAAATTGGAGAATTTACGTGGCAATTCATACAATTTCAGTTCCGACTCGCACTTTTTATTGAATTGTACTTCGCTCGCGGATTACGTTTCAAAACGTAATTTTTACGTTTTTTTCTGGTAATGTTCATTGAATTTTGCTCTCCGTGTATATATGTCTAAGAACAAATAATTAGTGCAAAAAAAAATTGTTTATTGTTTGTTTGCCCCGCACACGCTTAAAATGTTAAAAATAGTTTGGGGCCTCCAATTTTTGAGCTACAGAGGTTTCTTTTTTTCAAAATTTTTGACAAAATGTGTGCAATAATAATTACAAATTTTTTTTTGAAATTCGACTCCTACACAGCTAATGTCGTTTTGTTTAAAATAAAAATTTGTGGCATTCATGTAAAATAGGCAGAAAAATTATCCTTAAAATATTCAAAATATATTCTCGATTCTTTTAGAAACATTTTTCGCGCTATTTTACATGAATGGTGCATTTTTTTATTATAAAATTAACGAAATAGCCGTGGGGGTAAAATGGTTGTTTTTGTGCCCGAGAGTGTGAAGTTCAAGAGCGTACGTGAAGTCCAGTCCTCGAAGTATTGAAATTTCAAATGATTTAAGTGATGGAAAATTTAATAGGTTCTCATGTTCCATCAATTCCCGGTTCCTTTGAAAATCAATACGTTCAGTCTCTCGACGATTGAACGGTTTCGATTATCGGACGATTAACTCTGTTCCCCAAAAACTGAATTCTGAAAGACTCGTGATTTGACAATAAATTAGTATTGCTGAACTCTCCCACCATCCCATTAATTACTCCCTCCTCTTATTGTTAACCATGGAAATGAACAACGTCATCAACTGAATGCTGAAAGTTTACCCAGAGTTCCTATGTCATAATTCTTCTTAAGCAATTGTTCAGCTGTATCAATCGGTTCCGGAAACACGGGTACTGTGATGAACGCCATTATCGAACCAGTGTAGCACGACGTGATGATGATCGTAAACACCCAATAAATGCCTGGAACAAAGAAACAATCATCAATATTTCTCCAACAAAAATGAAAATCCATTTCAAACATAATTGGTACCAATTAAAAGTGACGTTGAATTCTTGGCAATTCCAGTATCCAAAAGTGGATTCTTAACGACGAAACTATTGGTAAATGTACTGAAGACATACCAAAACATGTGCATGAATCTCGAGGGATGAGTAACCAGAGATAATATGCTGTAATTTGTGTTGGTAGCGAGTGGAATAACGGCAATGACATAAGCAATGACTACCAGGGCCCAGACGGCTCCTTGGAAGGGTCCCATTATGGCGCGGTACTTCGGCAGGGCCAAGGATGCCTCTGATATGAAGGCCGCACAATCCTCCATGTGGGAGAATGAACTGTCGAATCTCGTGGTCACATTATTTGTGCGGTAAATGCCACCGATGGCTAGTGTCGTCTCACGTTTCTCCACATCCATTAGTGCAGCGTACGTAGGGCTGGGAATTATTCAATGATTAAGTCGAGATGATAACAACTTCATTGAACTATTTGTATTCTTAATGCAGTAGCGAAGTGTGAGAACATGATGAGTCACGTTTGTTTCCATATAACGTTTGAAAATAACTCCGTTTAAAACACAGAAAAAAAATGTTTCCAGTTATGAGAATCAAGTTACACTGAGAGAAATATCGTCATAATATAACAAAACTAGTTTCTTGTGCCAAATACCTCATCTCTTGAGGATAAATTTCGTGGAATAAGAATTCCGGATAACGTGTCAGACAATGTCAGATTTCGGTGAAGTGTTCATGACTTGAACATGAACATTTCACGACAAAGTGAGAATTTTTTGCCACAAGAAATCGGTATTTTCGTGTCAGAAGATGAGAAAATGACTAAAAATATCAAAAGCTTTGATTCAGTGAATCATGAATCAGAGACTTTCATATTAAATGAATAGAGAGTTTATGCAGAGAAAAGCCTCCCGATATTTAAAAAATATATAACCGTCGCTTACGCTCAATCACTTTGAGTTGGAAGGGAAGCAATATTTTCTTTTCCTTCTGTCAAACTATTCTTGTCTTTTAAGGAATATGATCTCATCATTTCGAAAAAAGACATCCCCTTCTCATTCAGTAACTTCTTCCTTAGCCCGCAGAGCACTGATTTCGTGTCCAAAACCTACCATAAATTGATCAAATATGTATGCGATGTTTTTCGCTCAAGAAATGATTTTTGTGATATTTTGTCGATTTTTCTCTTAGTGTACTGGTTTTAAGAAACTCATGGTTCTAGAAGGCATTGTCCTGAGAATAAGAAGCCGGTTAGTCAACTTCAGAAAGAAAATCGCTAAAGTTCTGTACCAAAAATTAACTTATTTGGAGTGAAAAAAGTCCTGCAAGAACCTTCTAGAGGAATAAAATTATGGAATAATTGAACATCAATTGAGGCAAGGTAACAGGTGATTTACTTTGAATAACCAGGGATTTATATATATGAGTTTAAAACAGGAAGATTCATTGATTCAAGAAGGAGAATGTCAAACTCCCCTACATCGAAAATTATTCGTTATTTTTTCATTATTCATTACAGTGGAACTTCCATAACTGCACACCTGCGGGGGTTTCGGTTCTCGGAAGTGGCACTTACGAAAGGACCCTTCTCCGCCAGCGAAAGAGCGAGAGCGCTGAGTCAGAAACAGATGCGTGTAGAGGTAATGGCGGGTGAAAGAGCAACGGGTGGGGGAGGCTATTGCGCACAGTCCTTGCGCATTCTAGAGACAGCGTGAAAGAGATTAGCGGGAGAACGGTCATAGAGGGCAATTGTAATGGTGGGGGAACGATTCCCCTCGTGCGGTGGGACAGTGTGCACTTGCGAAGGTGAGCAGTTATGGAAGTTCCACTGTATCGAGAGCCCACTTTGTCGAAATGGAGTTATGTGGAAAATTAAGAGAAGACGAATACAATAAACCCTCTCTAATAAGGGCTCACCTCCGGGGGCAGAATTTTTTGAACTAGCACTTATGCAGGCGCCCCCCTTTTGGCAGTGCAAGAGCGAGAGCGCCGTAGTTGGAAAAGGATCCATGTAAGACCGTTGGTGGGGGAAAAGCCACGAACAGAGCGCCAGAGAGGTTCGAGAAAGAACATGTATGGAGGGGAAGGCACTGGTGGGGAAACGAGTCACCTCGCCGAGCAATTTTGGAGGGTTCACTGTATCTCAGAGACTAGGATAAAAAAGTGGGCCCTTTTCATGCAGACGACGACAAATCTTGAACGAAATCGGAGAAATTCACTCATTCTGTTATGTTCTCTACCACTTCACTACTGATTCGATTGCTGAAGAGGTCCAACCTTGTTGAAGCTGTGGGATCCCTAAAATCAGCTGTGAAGTTAAGTACTTTTCCCAAGAGCCTTATCATTCTGATGTCAATTCCATCCCAACCGATCTGACCAAGGCTAATCCGATCCCTGTGGTGATTCAATCAATTGTGAGTGAAATGAACTGCGATAAAAAGAATCGAAGGAAAAGGCATCAACTGGAGAACCCTATAGTTTTGCAACCGTATTTTTATCATCCCTTATTTGAAAAATCCAAGAAACAAAAATGAAAAAATTTATACTCAGAAATTTTTATACGAAATTTTTTTTAAAAAACCTTAGTGGAAATTCCGTTCAGGCCACCTGAAGTTGCATCAGAAATGGATCCGTCTGTAGTCAGGTTTCTCTGATCCGGTGAAACCTGATCAAAGCCTGGTGTGAAACTCATCCAGTGTTTCTGCGGTCAGGCAGCCTGAAATCATTTTGATCAGGGATTTGGTCACCCCGATTTCAATTTGAGCAGAGTATCCTGAGCACGGGGTCAGCAGCTTCAAGGGTCAGACGTCTTGAGGGTTAAACGTAGCCAGGATCAGGCCTCTTCAGGTTCACGAGTCAGATATTTAAAGTTCCGAAATCTTAAGGGTGAAATGGCTCAAGGGTCAGACGTGTCAAGGGTCAAACGCCGTAAGGGGCAGACATTTAAAGGGTCTCAGGGGTCTAACAGTTCAAGGCTCAAATATCTTGTTTGATGGCTCAGGCAATATGAGGATCAGATGTTTCAAAGATCAAATGGCTTAAAGATCAAGTATCAAGGGTCAAACGTGTTAAATGTCCGACTTCATAAGGGTCATATCATCATAAAGGTCAGCAGTTTTAAGGCTCAAAAGGCTTAAGGATCATAAATCATAAGTGGAAAACGGTCATGGGAGGGGGGAGGAAGAGAGGTGCTGAATAAATTCACCCCTAGTATCAGAAGTCTGTCTAGAAATTGGTCATTGTCAGCAATAGTGCAGGAATAATATTTGAAGATGATGCATGAAAACGAATGTCATATTGACAATACGAGATTCACAATGCAAGATTAGTGCGCTAGTCTAGAGGTTAGGGTATAGGTTTAGTAATTGTAGTATTCCGGGTTCGAAACCAGTTGTGGGCGGAATAATTTGCGATAACAAAATCGGCTGTCTGCGATAAATGCATTGCGGGGTGACCAAGATCACAAATGATCGTAAAAATGGTTTTTGAAAATTTAATTATCATTTTTTTTGGCGGTTTGGTGCGGGTATCAAGAATAATAACTCGGTGTTGACAAGAACTGCATATTTAAAGGCAAGTGTTTACATGCGTATTCAAAAGTAGACTGACCTTTCCGTCGGGGAGCGTACGAGTTTATATACCTTTGTTTATCGAAGGTTCGAGAATTGTCCTGAAGTTTCGTGAGGGACAAGGACAGAATGACGTTTGTCTCGAATTCCGACGTTTGGAATATTCGAGACGCTACGAAATAAATTCAAGAAATTAATCTATTGTGGCTCGCGCCACAAGTACTCCCCTTCTGCAGAAAAAAGAAAAGAAAGCAAAATAAAACCAAAAGAAAATCAATAATATCGATTTGTCGAGAACAGCTGATTTCGTTTTGCGAATCTGACGCGCTTTTGAATTGATGACGTCGATGAGCCGGTGTCAGATGGGCGGTAAGATGACGAACGTCGAGATGTTCCCGGTTGCGGTGATTCCGGTGAAGGTGGTGCTGTCAGTGTCGTATTGCTATCGTGGGAATCGTCGTTAGCTTCGTCGTCATTATTGTGCTCGTCGTCTGGGAGCAAGAAAACGGGTTTGAGACGGTCGATGGAGACTACGGTATTTTCGCCTCTAATTCGAATGACGAAATGTTTCTCGTGCCTCGATATTACTTGGTGCGGCCCCTCGTATGGGGACGTGAAGGCGTGATGGGAAGCATCACGACGAACGAGGACGTGTGAGCAGTTTGCGAGCTCCTTAAAGACGAAAACCTTCCTCTGGCCATGACGGACGACGGGTTGAGGAGCGAGATCGGCGAAGTGATTCCTCAGATGATCGGCGATATTGGTAGGCGGCAGCCCGCGTGGTGGCGAGGGAGCAAGAAACTCCCCGGATAGTCGGAGCGGTTCACCGAAGACGAGGTCGGCAGGAGTTGCGCCGAGGTCTTCTTTCCAGGCGGCGCGAATTCCCAGAAGGACGATAGGCAGCATGTCCACCCACGAATCGCTTTCATGACAGCGAATGGCGTCCTTCAAGTGACGATGCAGACGTTCCACCATTCCATTTGACTGAGGATGGAACGTGGTGGTGTGAATATGTCTGCTACCGAGAAGACGAGCGAGAGCGTTGAACAGCTGGCTCTCAAACTGTGTCCCCTGGTCGGTTGTAATTCGAAGCGGCACTCCGTAGCGGCAGATCCATCCAGAAAAGAGCGTTCGGGCGACACACTCGGCTCCAGTGTTCTCGATGGGGAACGCCTCTGGGAACCTGGTGAAATGGTCTATGATCGTCAGGCAGTTGCGATACCCTCTGGACGGAACGTACGGTCCGATGATGTCCACGTGTATGTGCTCGAAGCGCTGCGTGCGTCCTGGAAAATCTTGAATAGGAGATGAGACATGACGAGATACCTTATTTCGTTGGCAGGCGATGCACGCGCGGGCCCATCGACGGCAGTCTCGGTTGATGTCGGGCCAGACGTAGCGCTGCGTTACCAGCTTCGTTGAGGCTCGTGCCCCAGGATGGCTAATGCTATGGAGAGCGTCGAAAATTCTTCTTCTCAACGGCACAGGAACGAAAGGGCGAATCAGATCGCCAGACACGTCGCAATAGATAGGCGTGGCGCAGTCTGGAACATTGACAGGTCGTAGGGCGAGAGCGTCGTGATGTTGACCCTGGAGACGTTGCTGGAGCTCCTCGTCAGCGGCTTGAGCTTCGGCAAGCTGATTCGTAGAGACGGCAGCAGAGGTTGCCTCGATACGAGAAAGCGCATCGGCGACAACGTTGTCCTTGCCGGCCACGTACCGGATGTCGGTCGAAAACTGGCCGATAAAATCCAGGCGGTGGAACTGCCACGGCGTGGCTCTGTCTGGATCCTGGGCGAAGGCGTGACGCAACGGCTTATGATCTGTGAAGATTATGACGTGCCTCGCCTCGAAAATGTAGCGAAACTTTCGCACGGCAGCGTAGATGGCGTGGAGCTCTCGATCGTAAGGGCAGTGTTTCCTCAGCGCAGGTTGTAGTTTCTGGCTGAAAAATGCCAGTGGTTCCCAGTGCTGTCCTCGTCGTTGCTGCAGGACTGCACCGATGGCATGTTCGGAAGCATCGGTGAAGATGGCCCACGGGAGTGTCGTGTCCGGGTAGACCAGTAACGTTGCTTTGCGCAGCTCCTCCTTGCAGGCGGTGAAAGCGGTATCGCCCTCAGGTGTCCAGGCGACTGGATGAGAGCCTTTCACATTAGCACCCTGAGTGTATTCATGGAGAGGAGCCTGACATCTTGCAGCATCTTTAAGAAATTTGCGATAAAAATTGATCATACCTAGGAACTCACGCAATTTACGAACGGATGTTGGCCGAGGAAAATTGACGATCGCCTCTACCTTCGACGGGAGTGGCAAGATACCCTGCGCCGAGATACGATGGCCGAGGAAGTCTACCTCCAGTTGGCCGAAATGACACTTGGCGGTGTTAATTACAACACCGTATTTCGAGAGCCGTTCAAAGAGCGTGTGGAGGTGTCTGCGATGTTCCTCGATGTCCTTGGAAGCGATGAGGATGTCATCGATATACGGAAAGGTGAAATCGTCCAAGCCTCGTGTGACCTCGTCGATAAACCGTTGAAATGTTTGTGCGGCATTTCGAAGCCCGAACGTCATGAACGGGAATTCGAAAAGGCCAAATGGTGTGATGATAGCTGTTTTGTTTACGTCGTCGATGGACACAGGTATTTGATTGAAGGCGCGTACGAGGTTGATCGTCGAGAAGATTGTTTTTCCAGCGAGATTAGCAGTGAAGTCCTCTAGAACGTGAACGGGATATCGATCCGGGATTGTTCGTGCGTTCAATTGTCTATAATCTCCACAAGGTCGCCATTCGCATGACTTTTTCGGTACCAAGTGAAGCGGAGATGACCAGGAGCTCTTCGAACGTTGAGTGATTCCCAGTTGCATCATTTTATCGAACTCCGCCTTGGCGATTTTCAGTTTGTCGGGGGCGAGGCGTCGTGATTTGCTGGATACTGGAGGACCGGGTGTAGTGGCGTTATGGTGCAGCGTGGAATGTTTGGCTGGAAGGCATATTCCTTCGGGTTTCGTTAAATTGGGAAACTTACCGAGGAGATCTGACCATGAAGGATCGACAGGCGTAACCTTGATTTCCGAGACGATGCTGGATAGCGACACTTTGCATGAGGTCGTTAATCCAGTTATTGAGTCGATAAGGCAGCCGTTCTTTAGGTCAGGTAAAATGCCGAAATGCGCCAAAAAATCGGCGCCGATAATTGGTTTGGTTGTGTCCGCCACTACAAAACGCCATGTGAAATCCCTCCGGAGGCCGAGGTTGAGCGATAGAGTTATGCAGCCGTACGTGTTAATTGTCGAGCCGTTGGCTGCAATAAGCGTATAATTAACTCGTTTCGTTGCTCCAGGAGCGAGAGATTTCGGATATATACAAAGATCGGCGCCAGTATCCACCAAGTATTGGATTTTGGTGGCGCGATCGGTTACGAAGAGGCGGTTGGATTTGGAAGAGGGAACGTTAACCGCCGCTAACGATCCGCCGGGGCGTTTCCCTGCCACGAGCAAGGTGCTTTGCAACGTCTAGCCCTGTCGTGGTATCTTTGATGATACCAGCACTGGTTGTTGTCGGGTACTGGCGAGGTTGCTCGAGAACGGGATCGAGAGCGGGAGCGAGAACGTGCGACGCTTTGCCCTTTTAGGGCCGATGCCAGCTCGCAGATTGTGGCTTCGAGACAAGAAAAGCGTGTCTCGAGGGCTGAGGACGTTGGCTCCTGGACGTCATTGATGTGGGCTAGCGGCAATGCGATCTCGTGCAGTTTGTCGGCGAGTGTTGCAAGCCTGTCGAGAGCCATGTCCGCTTGTGACGCCAGGATGGACTGCGTCGTCATCGGCAGTCGGCTGAGCCACTTGGTGCGTAAAATGTGGTCAGGAACCGTGTCGTCGAGACTCCTGAGATGACGTAGAAATTGCGAGGGCTTCCTGTCACCCAATACCTCTCGGTCGAGCAGCTGCTGGAGTCGTGCGTCCCGAGAGAGCGTGAGGCGTTCGACCAGCGCCTGCTTGAGACGTGTGTACGGTATCTCCGCAGGCACATTTAGGAGGATATCCTGCACTTCAGCAGCGGCCTTGGGGTCGAGATGAGACGAGGCATAGTAATACCTCGTTACTTCATCGTTAATCCCGGATAGATGAAACTGTCCCTCGAGCTGGGCGAACCATCCAGAAGCGCTGGATGCTGGAGATAACGCTGGACGTTCGGCATTGAAGGCGGGACATCGTATCGAAACGCGTTGGAGCGGGACTCCATTGTCAGCTTCGCGCACCTCGACACTATCAGGCATTATGTTTCGCGAAAAACAACACTAGAGAAAGTCTGAAAAGTATTCAGTGCAGCACAGTGTCCTTGGGTGCTCAGCAATGCACCGAAATTCGCGAAAAGAACTCGAATGGAGCGCATGAACGATACAACACACGAGCGTACGCGGCACACAAACCACTCACAAAGTGCACAATCGAAATGCACTCGAATTTCGCGGAACAGTCGCGGCGTTAACGTGTTATAATTAATAATCAAAGAAAACGCGAGAAAACTATTCACTTCAATCACGTCGGGGTCACCAGTTGTGGCGGTTTGGTGCGGGTATCAAGAATAATAACTCGGTGTTGACAAGAACTGTATATTTAAAGGCAAGTGTTTACATGCGTATTCAAAAGGAGACTGACCTTTCCGCCGGGGAGCGTACGAGTTTATATACCTTCGTTTATCGAAGGTTCGACAATTGTCCTGAAGTTTCGTGAGGGACAAGGACAGAATGACGTTTGTCTCGAATTCCGACGTTTGGAATATTCGAGACGCTACGAAATAAATTCAAGAAATTAATCTGCTGTGGTTCGCGCCACATTTTTTGTGAATGATTATTAGTAATGAAACTCGACACGCTTCTCCGGTCTGGATCCATGGGGCCGCCAGGCCTGATCAATTTTAGATCTAAAACGATGTTACACCTTCAATCCGGATCAATTCACATCACAATCTAATCTTACGTCAGGGCTGATCTGATCAAATTTTGATCTGGACCTGATCGAAATTTCCACTCGGGAATCAGTTCTGTAGAGAAATCGAAAGCTATGGATTCTTTTGTCTTAAATTCGAAAGAGTCTGAAAGGAAAACTGAAGAAGTTTTCGATAGAATTCTGCAGTCAATACCCTGAGTTTCCCTAGAATGTTCTGTATGGGAGGTAATGGCTACATAAATAATAATCCATGCTTACGTTCTGATTGCGAAGGGTGGCTTGTGGGCGGTGGATATTAATAGCCGGTGGCCCCTGAAGCCTCCACTGAGCTTCTCTGGGAATAAATCAATATTCTTGTGTGTCATGTGGTCCTTTATCCAAGATGTTAAAAGAACTGGTTTACTCGAACCACTTCCATCCGTATACAGTCTATGAGTATATAGGAGGAATGATCCTTCCTGAAATAGGATAAAAATATTAGTTTTCGTTAACATTAATTACCAGAATTAGAGAACCAAAATGTTAGAAATTTCTAACTGAAATTATCCATAGGAAATCTTTATCATTCAAGTCAAGTCTTAAACCGATCGTAATGGTTGGGTGAGTTAGGTGTTGCTCCGGTGGACATCCGAGTGCAGCTGCGTTTAGCGTGGTTAGCACTTGGATGGGTGACCGCTTAGAAACACCCTCGCCCAAAAATTTCGGAAGGTAGGCACGGTGTGGTGGCCTAATGTGCCCCTCTAGTCAGTGTGACAGAAGGGCACATTAGAGCTCTGCCCAATCGGCCGGCTGTATGACTGAGGTTTTCCATGATTTCCCTTGTAGTCCTAGCCCGAATGGGGTACAGTTAAAAGAGTAAGACCGCCCATGGTAACGCAGATATATCTACCCTACCAACAAAATCTAATCCTTAACTCCTGAAATGTCCCGTAGACGGATAACAGCCGAATAGCCAATGCAGCTGGAACCATAAGAAAGAAGAAGAAGAAGTCACGTCTTAAATTCGCAGCTTTTTACTGACATTTATCATTTTATTGAACATTTCTCATTTGATACTCAATATTAATTGCTAATTTACCAAATTTCTGCGGAAATACAAAGTACTTCTGTCATTTAGAACCTTCTACCATTTGTAGAAAAGTTTTATGACCGAAATCATTTTTCTGTCCATCCGGCCGTAAGGCAGCGCTTCAGCTCGGGCTTCAAACTCATATTCAGAAATTTTTTTTCGGTCTAATAACGAAATATACTATTTCGGCTTTCCTTGAAAAATGGCATTTTTCTACTCGAACCATTTTATCTCTTCGCTACTGATTTCTCATAGTATGACAGGAAGGAAATACAATTGAGAAATTTCTTCCTCTTTAGTTACCTCAGTTCTTCTACTCATACTATGAGTGATGATAACCAAATTTGTGTAGGATCTGGATATAAAACTTTTGAGAAACTCTTTGACTGTCCAAGGCGTTGATTCTGTTATGAGTAGAACTTTATTTACTGTTTCCTCTTCAATAACATTTTCGATATAGTAGACATCATCCAGAAAGATCATGTAATTATAACACTTGTCCTTGAAGATAATGGGCACCTGGCCCAACGATGTATTTGTGCTTTTCTGGATGAAGGAGGCGAAAGGGAAACTGGTGTATAAGCCCTGGAGCAAACCAGGCTGCTGCTCGATGGTCTTGTCATCGTAAATTATTATTATAACGCAACCACCAAAATACTCTTTGAGAATGTAACTGAGTAGACGATCTAAACTGTCTGTTCTTAGATCGACTTTCATGGATCTTCTCATGTGTGCGGTGTGAGACCCTATGATCTCTAATCTGGTGAAAATTAATAAAATTATGAAAATGTAATTCGCGACCCTCATGACAAATTCGATAAGTCGGCCGATTGTTCCGAAGCGGTGAATCTGAACTAACTGAACAAAAAATACCACACAATCCGATGTATATGGCCGATGAGATATCGATACGGCTGTTATTACATTTCTCATATTGATTGGACATTAGCAGAATTGCTTTTCAATTTTTCAGGCCACCTGGATTGCAAAATCGATTTCCCTAGTACATATAATCATTTATTCAATAATTATGAGTAGCACGGCAAGGAGATTGCCGTGCTACACGCATTGGAGATTGCGTTGGTATTTTGACAAGAGGGACAGAAAAGATCCATTTTTGGATTGAAAAAATCCTTCTCACCTAAATTTTGAAAAATTTAGATTGCAATGTGCAGCTCCAGTATTCACTTTGGAAGGAATGTAAGATGCATTCGACAGAAGCCTTCGCAACAGTCCTAAGACTCTCGAACGGATTTGTTCAGAGGAGAGAATTTTGTACCTTCCAACCCGTTAACGTAGGGAGTGCCTGCGATGTTATTAATTTGGAGCAAACACTCACAGGATCATAGGTCGTGAAAAAACACCTAAGAGCTAGGTGAATGGTTAAAACATTGAGGAATTTATATTGTTGTGACTTTCTCATACTGGCCAGATGTTTCGACTTGATCTTTTAACACAGAGGTAGATTTCCAACCTAAGAAGGCTGCGTCTGAAAGAATATTTGTTCTAGACTGATCAGCTCAATTAAGAGCTACTAAGGAAGATCTGGCTGATGAGAACAAGAGATCATTCAAAATTTCCATAATTATAGTAGATTATGTCATGATGACGATAGGTGGAGGAGTGTGAAGTTTCCAGCACGAGGCGTGCCGAAGGCGAGCTGAGTCGAAGACTTGCCACGCCGAGTGCTGCAAACTTCACACGACTCACAATCCGACGCCATCAGCCGAATGACATTAGTACATTAGAGTACAAGGGCACAAATTTCGTTTTCGACGAATGTGAAGTTTACAGGCCGAGCCGAAGGCGAGGTCTGTATTCACATTCGTTGAAAACGAAGTTTATGCCCGAGTGGTCTATAATATTTTATGCCACATCGTGCAGAAGTCGAGTTTGAAGCACGCTGCGCCAAGCAAGGGGCTTCGCCCCCCCCCCCCCATTCAGTCAAACCCAAATAAGCAAAAGAAAAAATAATAGAAAAAAATCATAATAATCATGAACTGTTATCCCAAACATATGAAAATATGATGGATCGTACAATAGCTCACCCCCTTGCCCCACTTACTCCAACAGAATTTGAAAAATAGTAGATTGTCATCAGGCGATAAAAGTATTATCTGGCGAATGCTGCTTTACAATGCGAGCCGAAGGCGAAGATCATAATCACATTCGCCAGATAATGCTTTTATCGCCGTATGACATGATATTTTATGTCGTTGGGCCCGAAAACCGCGATCTAACCGAGCAAAGCGAGCTCGGTTAGATCGCGGTTTATCGGGCCTAATTACATAAGAGATCATCCGGATTTTTTTTTAATTCTTCCAAGTTTTTCAGTGTAGCGGATATTCAATGCCAATGTAGCTCCATACCAGCTTACAGCCCGACGCTAGGACGGCACAACCCAGTACCTGAGATTGAGCGGTGGCGCAACGCTCAGAACTCAGCTTCGATTCAATTGTGTCATTCCGAGCGAAGAATCAATGAAAACTTTAAATTTTATTGATGAAAAATTGATAAGTCTTACAGTCACTGAAACAACCATCAACTTATGGCGTAAGGATTCACATTTCAAGCACAATCAAATGCCTGGTTTTTAAGATCTCCGATGTGTGGAAGTCGTCCATTACAACAATGTTGAACAAAGCTAGATGAGTACCTTATGAGCAGAATCCTTCCTGCGACTAGCTACGAGCTTGCAACACTCCCCTCCCCCTTCAAACCTGTTCTATTGCGCATGGTAGTATGCTTATGAATCTATTTATACACAAAAAATACCCCCAGCGATAAGTATTGAATTATCCATCCAAATGATCTAAAGAATTGAACACTATCGTGACTATCTTATAAGACTGTCGATACTGAAACAAAACTTTAATCTGAGTAGCATCAAGATGAATAATCAAATGAGAAGGTGTACTCGCCGTGCCACCACTGAAAATACCCAGGGATATGTATTGTATTATTTTTCCGGGGACTGCAAATAACTAATCACTATCATGACTATCTTATAAGATGTTGGTCGATACTCAGACCACACTTCAGCCCGAGTGCTGTGCAAATGAATAATGAATATGAGAAGGAGTATTCGGAGTGCCACTAGTAAACAGTATCTTCTATCGCACAGAAAACTATATACGGTCTAGTCGTTCTTACAAAAATAGGCTTGGTGAAACATTTGCGCCAATGGAATACAACAAAAAACTGCATTCACAATGGAATGTGGATGTGCACTATGCTCTCGATTTTTCGAAGTGGTGGTGTAAAGCATTAGGCATCTGGCCATGGCAGCACAACGAAGTTTCATGTATCGTGCAAGCTAGTTGTATCGTCTTGATTGTGGTAAGGAAACATATCACTTTTAGTGTCCCGTTGACATGATACCAAATTTGATGCAGATGACTGCCGCTGCATTGTCATCAGCCCAGTTACAGACAAAGGGTTACTGTGGAGTAATAACAGATTTACTGGATACGTTATCCGGTATCCTAGTATTTTGCGGGACAGCTATTAAAATTCTTTCTCTTTGGTTTCATCAGCAACAAATGCGTTGTATTATTTCATCGATAATTGATGATTGGTTGAATATTAGCGGAACAAAATCACGTGAAATCATGCACCGGTATGCACTCTGGGGACGTTTAGCCTTTATCTTACAAATTACTGGAACATTTGTAGCCATGGCATTGACAACGTGGATTGATCCTCCAAGCATAAAGACTGAGATTTCAAAAAATGATAGTTCAGCAACAAGACACATGTTACTAGCACCTCCATGCTGGGTTCCACTGACGATGCCCTTCAATGTTTACTTGCTTTATTACAATTTCATTTTCATCGCTACATTCTTCTCAGTATTGACATATGCAGGATGCGATGCATTTATGTTTAGTGCTGCCTTACATATCTGTGGTCAGTTTGAAATACTCGAGGCTAATATTGAAAAACTCAATGATGGGGATGATTATCCAACACAGAAATATAAAATTAAAAAATACTCGAAGCGACATAATCACTTGATTCAGATGGGGAAACGTATGGATGCCTTAGTCAATGTTATCATCCTTTCGGAACTTCTGAGCAATAGTGTTCTCATTTGCGCTTCAGGTAACGATTTTTAGCAGCTCATTCAATTCTTCTTGAGAACTTATAAAATTTATGCGGAAGAAATTGCAACACAGCATAGAAACAAAAGAGATCGAAATCCATTGATAATTTTCTATTGAATCATGCTATAAAGAAAGAAAACAGAGTTGCATAGATTTGAATTCAAATCGACGAGAAACAAATTTAAATTTGAATATAATTCCGAAAGAACTCAAGTACTAGAATTTGCAAAAAGAATTTCCTCTTGAATCTTCTCATACGTATGTGAGCTTGTAGTCGGAATGTAGAATCACTATGGGACATACTCAAAGGATGATTTCTTTTATTTAGGAATTGTTGTTCTGGCTAACGTTAAGACAGGTAATGTGAACCGTGTAGTAATCAGCTGGGCAGCAAGAATATATGTTTGGTACATGGAATTCTTCATGTATTGCTATGTTGGTGAAAAAATATCAAGCCACGCTGACAGATTGCGGAGTGTTGTCTACAATTGTCCGTGGTACAATATGTCAGTTCATATTGCTAAAGATATGGAATTCATGATGATGCGTAATAATTATTTCTGTCATTTGACAGGAGGTGAATTTTTAATCATGAATTATGAAAGTTTTGCAAAAATTACAAAAGTTATGTTTTCTTTTTTTTCTGTTCTCAGATTCATGCTTGAATGAAATTGATGGAATTACTTATATTATAATAATTACACATTGTCGTTGCATTTTTCATTCTCTCTAACTGAATAAGAACGATAACGAAATATCGGAATTTATCCACTGCATTTCACCTTTAGGGCGAGTAACAACTCAGTACAGTTGAAAATCCAAAAGCAACAAGGACTGAGAATGCGTTTCAATGCGATAGCTTCAATCATTCACCAGATCAATACAAAAATACCTTATATTTCTTTCAATTTTTTTAAACACAAAAAACATTAGCCAAAATTGAATTTTCCATTTTTACCTTTGCAAGCAATTTCCGACTTCTAATGATGAGTTACGTAAAAAATTGTCAAGACAATTAAACAATGTCTGTTTTCCGATAAACAATTTGAAAAAAAAATTGAATTTTTTATCAAATTTCAATAGAACACTTTTAGAATATAAAAACCGAAACTTAAACTACAAAAACTTAATAATTGTTGAAAAATGTCAATTTTTAATTCGAGTGAAATTTATACTTCATAATCTACCATCTTTTACGATAACTTTCGTGGCTATTGCATCATTAGATCTGAAAACAGGTGTTTTAATGACGTTTGAAAAAATTCAATATCCATCATTAAATATTGAATTGGATATCCATTCTTTTGAATCCTGAGTAGACTTTTGGGTATCAGTGTATAGTTGTGTTTTTTTTTATTGTTATTTCACATCGCTTCGACCTGGTTAGGGTATACTGCGATGATGATCAAGACTTTAAATGGTTAGATCGCACCATTGTACTCGGCCGGGATTTGAACTCGAAACCTTTCGCATGTGAGGCAACGAACTTACCCACTGCGCCAAGCCACCGGGTCCCAAGTTGTTACCGTCACATTCTAGAAATTCACAATTTTGCAATTTAATTTTCAAGGATGCTAATAGTTTTCTTTGAAAGGATGTCTTGCATATCGTCACGTGCTTCCTCCGTGAACGGCGCGTTGGCCGAGTCTTTTCGGGGTTATAGGACCCGAAATTATACCTGAGGCACTTCCACACTATTTCAATAGGTCCAAAATTATTTTTGCTCGATTTTTGTATATGTTGTAGAAGAGGGCCAGAAATGTCTGTAAACGCGAGAAAATTTTTTTTTCCAAAAGTTATAGAAAATACACAATAGGAGATGTCTCTGGGTAAGTACTTGTATACAACATCATAACGCGATAAATATTGGTTGTATCGAAAAATGATGAAGTACTTTTTTATTGCCAAAGTGTGATAGATTCATAGAACAATTTTATTTTTGCAAGAAATTCCAATTGACAATACGTTTGTTCATAAACAAATTAGAAAGTTGATAAAAAAAATATGTTTGCGGGTCTCCTTGTCAAACATTCCGAAAAATATATATATTATCGACGGCACATATATGTGCTTTCCGCGTGGGCATGTGCTCCTCCCCAGAATTTTTCAGTTGCTACCGTAGAATTGTTCGTGTGCTACGTGAATTTTTTATGACTTCCGACATTTTGTATCTCGATTGTGGAGCAGCATCAGAATTTTTCTCAGAATTTCACTACAAAAATTTCATGATTTTTTTTTCTTGTATGAGAGACATTTCGGTCCGCGTTTACCTATAGAGTATCACAAAATTTTCCCTGAATTTTCATCACCGTATATCAACTGCTAGCCGTGAATCAACCTTAATTATCACTCAAACACAACTTGCCTTTTCTCCTCTTCAATGATCTCTACAGTATCTGACAAGCCCCAACTATACCTATGCAGTTGATTAACTTTATTATCAAAAAGTAAAATGGTCTGTACTTCTAAAAGCCTAAATGCCTGGGGTTTTATATCTTTAATCGAATTACCAGAGAGGTCTAAAGTCGTTATATGCAGATCACTGAAAACATTGGCTTCTAGAACCTCTAAAGCATTCCTGTTCAACTTAAGACTTTTGAGAGTTAATCCAGAAAACGCATTCGGTTCGATTCGGTTTATAGTGTTCCGTTCCAAATTGAGTGTCTGGAGATGCGGCAGATGATTGAAAACATCATTAGATACAGTAGTCAACTTATTGCCACGCAGGTCCAAACTCTTCAGCTGCCCGAGAGCACCGAAAACGCCAGCCGGCAATTCTTCAATGTCGTTGAATCCCAAACGGAGATCAATCACGTTCAGACCGGAAAAGATCCTAGAATCGGGTTTGATGCCGGTCGATTCCAGATTAAGTATTCTCAATTTCAAAAGTCCCTTGAAGATATCCTGAGGTAAAACAGTGATACTATTGTAATCCAGGTGCAACTCTTCCAGTTCATCAAGACCATCAAACGTACCGGAGAGTAAATAAGTAAGTTTGTTCCCAGTTAGCATGAGATATTTCATCTGATTGAATCTTTCGAACGATTTCGACTCAACTCGTTGCAGTTCACCACCGTAAATTGCAATTGATTGTATATTTGGATTCATTTTGGAGAATGTATCCACTGTAATAGCTTTAATTTCATGTCCCTTTATGAGAAATTCTTTCAGTTGGGATAGGTCAACAAAGAATTCAACAGGCAGTTCCGCGATTCCGTCGTCAACCAACAGTAAATATTTTAGGGATTTAAGATGTTTGAAGGGATTTGGTTTTATAGAAAAAATGGTATTACGGATTTCAAGGAGAGTCACTGAGGGCAATCCCTGGAAGGATTCTTGTTTCAAGTCTATGATTCCGGGTTCACCGTCGAATCTCTCGAAGTTCAGGGTGAGATTCGTAATTCTCAAATCTTGAAACGCATGGGGAGCGATTGCTGAGAGTTTGTGGGATCTTATTTCGAGTTTATCTCCTTCCTGCGTTTGATTTACAAATGTTAACACGTGAGACCTCTGACATATGGTGAATGCGTCCAATAAATTACACTCTGTATCTGTGCTCTCGTTGGTCGCAATTATGGTTAGCCCAGCGAAAATCAACATAACTACTAATTTCCACATTCTTATTTTTTATGATTCACTATGATAATCGATGTGCACGTGAGGAATTAATATCTGTGTGGTCCTTCACTACTTCCTACGCGCTACTTCAATTCAACTGACTGGAAGGTGTCGGTGCAGGCGATTTTATATGACACTAGCACCGGCCTTTAGTGATATGCGTCTCCATTTATCGGACCGAATGATGTAAATAAAGTCAGCAGACGTGATAACGTATCGAATGAATATTTGGTGAGGGGATTCGAATTCACAAAACGAAAATAACATTTGTTGATTATTGCATAATAATTTTGAAAACGACACTGAGAGAAAAATATAATTCTTCTGACTATATTCCATCACCATCGAATTATAGTCAAAAAGTCCTCAACAATTTTTCATGGGTTATGATAACTACACGGAGATAAATATTCAAGAAAAATTACGGAACATTTCACGTAATCCGCAAGCGAGAATCGTTTTCAGTGAATTTCTATAGGAATATAAGAGAATAAATCTGAAACGTTCAGTAAATTTTCGGGTCTGTCACCGAAAAAATACGAAAAAGTCACGTAATTTTTCTGGAAGTTGTAAAATCTAACAGAAACTTCAAGACTTATTATGCCTCAGAACATGAAAATTCTTGGATGTTTAAGAATTTTTACGAAAAGTTCCGGAAAAATTACGGAACGTGTTGTTAAAATCTCCCCCTCACGGTGACTCATGGCTAGCCGTGAGGCGTCGGACGGATGAGTAATTTTTACGGAACAGATCGTAGAATTTACGTGACGATTGACACTTTATTGAATTTTACTTCGCTCCCAGATTACCTTTCGAAACGTAATTTTTGCGTCTTTTTTCTGGTAATTTTTATTGAATATTTCTCTCCGTGTATATGGCCGGAGAAGTAATTACTACAATGGAATGTAGTCATTGCAACTATTTTATAGTTCTCCTCACGATAGATTTGTCGTGGTTACTTTTGAACTTTGGTTAGTTTAACTGCATTTTGATTTGCAAAAATTACGCTTGTGAAGTTACTATAATGTTATGTGCCGCATACAAAAAAAAATCGTATCGTTCACCAAAATGCCTCAACTATTTTCTTATTGTAAATCGAACTTCAGATTTGTCTCTCAGTAAAGTTGACTCTTCCTCACCCACGTAAAATGGGTACGAGTGTAAATTTTGCCATTTTTTCGTTGATCAAAATAGGAAATGGCAGATGAAGATTACTCACCGAACCTCCCACAAAACGAAAATATCACCGATGAAATATTACCCACTGAACCATTTAATTACGTTTTTTCCCGTTTTCGAGATTCTTTTACTGTTGTGAAACAACTTAGAAAAAGATGTTCAAAAACCGTCAGAGTGACGAAGGGTTAATTACCGGCGAAGGGCTTGGCCCTTAAGACTTATTTGTAGCTAATCGAATGCACAATAGTGGAGATAATTTAGTTCCGTCGAAGTTGTGATAAGTTACACGAAATCTCTCAAGTCACCTGTCATGATCATCAATTATACGGAGAAACGTGGCGACAGAGGAAAAATTTTAGAACCGGCACTGGAAATTTTATTGACTAGCAATTCGATTTTTCTGTTGAACATGTCAATTAGTTCTTTTTAACTCAACTCCTACACAGCTAATTTCGTTTTGTTTAATATAAAAATTTGCGCCATTCATGTAAAATGGGCCGAAAAATTATTCTTAAAATATTCAAAATATATTCTCGATTTTTCAGGAATATTTTTCGGGCTATTTTACGTGAATGGTGGACTTTTTTATTAAAGTAATAACAAAATTAGCTGTGTAGGAGCTGAATTTCAAAACAATACTTCGTAATTGTTATTGCACATATTTTTCCTAAAATTTTGAAAAAAAAAAACTCTGGAGCTAAAAAATTGGAGGCCCTGGACTATTTTTTACATTTTAAGTGTTTGCGGGGTAAACAAACAATGAACAATTAGTTTTTCTGCACTAATTATTCGTTTTTAGACATGCATAATCGATCTTCAAAGTATGAGAAATCTCATTCCAATAGCCCGCGACATTTTGCATCTCTACGCGTAATTTGGATAAGGCGCCACCGGTCTGCGCGCAGTTGGTACCACTGCGCTGCGATTCTCTCTTCAAAGTCGATGAGATCCGATCAATTAGCCCCTCATGTATAGATATTCCAAATTTTTATTTTTTTCCTCATTGAAGTAGTTTTGAAGAAAACTGCGAGCTAATAAAAAACATTTGCTAGTTAGTACTTTTTTTAAAATAAATTTTTGAAAAATCACCTCTGAAAAAAAATGCGTTATCCCCTCTATTCCATTAT